AATAAACAAACATAAAATATAAAGTAATGTAACATAAAAAAAACTTTTCTTACATGCTAATATGCAGTTAATGGTAAATAAAATACATGTAAATACAGTGTGTAGTACATGCAAAGTCAATATTCTGCAGTATATAATGGCAGTAAAAGCCATGGCAGCAGTAACAGTAAAACCATCATTATTGTCTTCATCACACTGAAGGCGATGACAGACCAAATCAGCTCCGAGGAGGAAGAGAAGACCGGCCACGTCCAGGCGTTGGTGTGTTGCTATGGAGACAGCGTGGAGGCCAACAACAAACTGCTGGAGAGAGCTGCGAGCAGCATGGAGGAGCCGGACACGGCTGCATTTGTTCAGGTGGTCACAACACTGTGTGTGTGTGTGTGTGTGTGTGTGTGTGTGTGTGTGTGTGTGTGTGTGTCAAATGTGCATAAAGTGAAATATCTGCAATAAGAAGAGTGGTGAGAACCCATTGAACCCATTGTTATTCAGATATCTTGAGGTCAGAGGTCAAAGGATGTCAGTTATATGGCCTCTTTCCCGACATGCTAGCATGACATGGTCGATACCGACGGATGCGTTAGGTGATCTCGTTTCATCTTCAGTTTCTGGTTTCATAATTCACTCTGGCTTTAAAAGGAAGCCTCTGAAAAACAACGCAGAGTGGAAGAGTTAAGGATAATGGGGGTGGCGCTTGGGATGGCCAATCAGATTTCAGGAGTGGCCAGCTCCGCTTTTTAACAAAACACTGATGAGTTCTTCTGGTTGAATAATTTTAAATTTATTTGTATGTATGACACAGTTAACTACTACTTCTAACTAATATTATTACTCTAGTAGTTAAAAAGTTACAATTTAGTACTAAGAATGAATTTTTTTTGTGTGTTTTTTGTCTTTTCTCTGAAGTGTTTTTCGTTGTTTGTATGTGTGTCTGTGGCTGACTTGTTTACAATAAGTCTCTAAAAATATTCTGTGTTTCTCACTTGTCCTCATCCTCCCTTCAGAATTCAAGAGAGCTGATCACAAAGTGAGTATTGTGATACGATTAGTTGTATATTTATTACATTATGGTATAAATAAAAATATATATGTTGTTTTCCTTTCTTTCGTCCATTCTTTACTCCTTACACCTCCTCCCCCTCTCCTCAGAGTGATAGCAGCGACCGGCTCCTGTCCAGCCGAGACACTGAAACCAGGTTATGAGAGCATGAGCCACTACAGATTTAACTTCAGCAGACAGGAGAGAGCTCTGAGGAGCATAGACTTCCTCAAAGGTGAGAAGAAGGACTGCCTGGCGAACCACTTTGAAACTTATTTTTATTTACAAAGACAAAAGTTACAGTACAAAACACAATTTCTATACACTTCAAACAGCCAACATTTTAACATAAAAGTCTGTGTGTGTGTGTGAAAGCTGAACTGTTAAGCTGCCTGAGTGCAGGTGTAATATAAACTGCAGTAACTCTATCTGGGTTTTTTTGGATATAAGGTCTATGAGTCTGATCCAAAAATAGTTGGTAGCTGCAGTAGGTAATGAGTGAATGAGTAAGACCTCGAATGCACAAAACAACCAAAATATAACAGACCTTAAAGGGTTATTAATTAGTATGACTCAGTGATTGCGAGGTCATGTTCCCATCACACTTCTCTTTCAAGACTGTTTCTAAATGTAAGAGCAAACACACATGGATCCTGTCCCCGTCCACTATATATAATGTTTTTGGATTAATATTACTGCTGCATTATTGTGTATGTTGCATTTTACTGCTGTGCATCATATATGGTATGGAGATATGGAGATAAAAAAAAAACCCTGACCTGTTTATAGCTTTGTTACAATGAATTTTACAGCTAACATAAGAGGGTTATTAAATAGTTTATTAGGTTAGAAAGTAGAACAATTTTCTGTAGATGTATGATGACTCTTGCACCCAATATGGACGAACTACACCAAAACAAGCACTGATTTTACAACAATATTGTCTATAATCGTATTCATTTTCTGAGGCCAACATAAATACCCAAGACCTGTTAATGTTATTGTAATTAATCAAGTTTATAGATAATGATCAATAAAACCTTCTGTTTATTTAATACATGTTTAACTGAGATTAAATGTCATAAAAATAACAACAATGCAACAAGCAGACATGCAGTAACAACAGGTTTTCTTGTCTCTCTGCAGTTGTGGAAGATGTTCCTGAAGAACCGGAGATGGAACAAGAACCAGAAGAACCCAAAGAGCCCTCTGTCCAGAGCTCAGAACCAGAACACCATCAAGAAATCTCGGCGCAGGACCTGGAATCTGTTGATGAACCAGTTAAAGAGCTGATCCCAGCACTGATATCCCCACCAGTGGAACCAGTACAATCAGCTGCACCAACCCCAGTCCCAGTCCCACCAGCTCCAGGTTTGTTGAGAGACTCTTTGGAGACTTCAGAGGCAGTTGTGCAGCCAGAGATTGACGACCTGGACTTAAATGATGGAGGATCCGATCAGATAATGATGAACAAGAGGGAGGAGGAGAAAGAAGAGGCGGTGGGATGTGCAGCTCCTCATCCTGTTAAAGAGGGAAACATCTGTGAACGGGAGGAGGGAATGAGCACACAACAGGTAAAGTATCCTACCTGCTGGAAAGAAACACATCTGTATTAACTCTAAGTTTAAACCATCTAGGTTCTTTTGTAAATATATAAGATTTGGACCTCTTGTTGACCAGTAGAAGGTCTTTTAATGCTCAATAACTCACAGATAACAATATTAGACCTTCTTACAGTCGACGTGTACAGGATATATAAGTGAAGACATTTTAAGATGACAAGATGTTGATTTCAAATTAGTTAGAAATTAGTTTGATAAATGAACTGTTACTTTACATTATTGGAAACCATTTTCTAAAATATCAAAAATTATTCTTTTAACAAAAGATCATTTAGATTGATGTCCATGAAGCCTCCTCTCTCAGTTACAGTAAGCTTTGAAAATCAACTCACAGAGAAGATAAAACTGACAAACTAATGTGTGGGTTCAGTTCGGTTCAGTTCAAAGATTCGTAGTCACTATGTGGTTCATTCACTTTATTTTTTGGAGCAAAGCAATCACCATTCAAATGCACTTTAGTATGTACAGCAGTATAGTTGCCGTATTACCGTGATTCTGAGTCTGAGTTCAGTCCGTTGCCTGTTCAAGCTTTCACATTCAGTTCAGTCCCACACAATCACTGTTTATAAGGTTAGTAGCTCTGCAGCCAACTGACTTTATAAATTACTTTCATAAGTGTTAAGGCATCAGTGCATACACAACACATAACTGGACTTAAGATACTAAAGACGTTTAAAGCTAAAGACTTCTTCAAGTCTCCTGTGAGTTGATTGACATGAACCAACACCAAAAGCAGCCTGAAAGGGTGAAAATCAATCTTAAAACATATTGTATGCTTTGGAAAATGGTAACAGGACAAAAAAAAAAGCTAAACCTTCCATATGGCTTTTTAATTGTCTTCCTTCACATATTAGTGTGAGGGGGGAGAGGAAGAAAGTGATGCAGATGATTGGACAGCACAGAGTGAGACAGAGGAAAAACATGATGCTCAGGATGAAGAAATGCAGATGAAGGAGGAAATAGATGCTACGTTTTACCCCAGCTGGTACAAACCCAACAGCTGGCGCAGGGTTAGCCCCGTCCCTGCAGGAAGCCTGCCGAAGGTTTATGATACAGAACCGATGATATGTTCACCACAACCAGCTGGAGATTCCCTCTCGGAGGCCAGGATCCAGACTGAGGCTCAAGGTGCAGTCCAACCCGTGACTGAGCCCCGAGTACAACCACAATCTCCATGGAGTCACGATTCTCAGACCCAGGAACAGAGCATGTCTTACCCCAACTCACCTCCCCCTGAACTCCCACTTTCCACTGAGCTTCATACTCCATACCTTCCTCTTCCTCAACTCTCAAACCACCCAGAAAACCACTCCAAGCCTTTGTCTCTTCATGAACCTCAGAAGGTAGAGCTGGGCAGTGCTTGGGTACCTGTTCCCCAATTAAGACTAACTATGCAGGAGACAGAAGGAGAAGCCAGTATCACAGAGGAGGACAATGAGGAGGAGGACATGCAGGGCTGGGTGTGCCTATCAGGGGCTGTGGATAAAGGTTTCAGCCTAGTAGAGGGCAGTTTTGATCTTGGAGATGGTAGTTTGGACAGTTTGTCTGATAATAACGAAAGTCCGCCATCTGTCCCACCAGAGGAGCCTCATTCTGGGGTTGAGAGAGGGAGCTCAGAGGTGGATAAAGACAACTTTGAGCTCAGTGATGGAAGGGTAGGGAATGCAGAACAGAAAGGGCAACATGATGAGGATACATTTGATCTAAAGCGTGCTCCAGAGCTGAAAGACAGAGGGTTGGGAGAGGGTGATTTTGAAGCTGAGACGATGAATGAAGGGCTGGAAAAAGGAAGCGTTTGGTTGGGTGAAAGAAGCGATGTGCAGGGGAAGGATGCTGTATGTATGAGGGAGGATAGCGCTGAACCTGATAACGATCATGGTGTGGAGAGTACAGATAGCTCGATACAGGGAGACGAGTTTGAGGCTGGTAATTCAGGGTTTGCAATAAAGAAAGAGGAGGATGGAAAGAACGACAAGCAGCCGGAAGACTTCAACGACAAAATGGAAACGAGTGCTGCTGAAACTGAAGAGAAAATAACCCCCTCTGTCTCCCTCCAGGTCAGTATCGTCCGATTATCATCGTCGTCGTCGTCATCATCATCAGCCGGGCACTTGCACTCTTCACCCACCTGCTGATGCGGCTACACCTCCACGCTGTTCTCTTTTCTTTTGGGTCGTTGCTGTTTAGAGTCACTTTTGCAACTTGGCTGAAACTGCTTCTCCACTTTGGTCTCTGTGTTGTTGTCATGTTGGAAACTGAAGGGAGAATGGGAGGAAGGAAGGACAAAGGGGAAACTATTGCAAGAGATATTTTCTTCTTTTCTTCTTTTACTTCCACAGTTAACAGTTTTCTTCCAATTACTTCATGTTTTGTTTGCAAAAATCTTCATTTATAAAAAGTAAAAAGTACAATTACCTCTGAAAAGTATAAAGTTACATTCATTCATACATTGCATTAGTTACATTCCCAGTGGGATACAGTTATCAGTCCTCTTTCCTTCCTCCTTCCTTCTCCACATTACAGTCATTTTGTTGCAGCATCATCTCTCCATCCCCTCTCCTGTCTTCCTTCACCTTAAAATCTTCTCATCTCCTCACTTTGACCATTTTTTTCATCTTTTTTCCTCATCACACCATCCTCCCTCTCATTTCCTCACCCCGCCTCTCCCTGCGTCCCACCTGTATGTATATCTGTCATCTCCTTCATCCACCTCTCTCTTGTCCATCCCTCCATCTCTCTCCAGGCTGTCACTCTGCTCTTCTACCTGTTGGCCTTCCTGGTCATCCTACAGAGGGTTTGGGCTTACATCGGCTGCTTCATTTGCACATAACACCAGCAGGAGACACATCCATCCTCACTGCTGCACAGCTCAGGTATACACACACGCACCTGCTGGCTCCACCAGGAAGGGCTGTTTAAGGCTTTTATTTTGGAAAACTGGAGAATCTGCATTGTTTGATTGGATTTTTGAAAGAATTGTCTAAAAATCATTTACACTGGCAGGATCTTGTTTGTGAACTATTTATTTTATGAAAATTCATCTTGAATAAAATTGAATTGAACAACAAAATTATGAACAACATTCTCCAAAACACAGCTGCCAATACTACTACTGCTCTTCCTACTAGTCCTTCTATTATATTATTATATTTGATTTTAATATATTGTTATTGGTGCAAAACAAAACACTGAATAATACCTCTAAAGATATAACAATGATAGAAACAGAGATAAAATACAGAAGGACAGACAGAACAGTATTTGACATACAACATAAAACACTGTTAAATATGTGCATGACTGCACAGTACTACAACTAATATTAAAATAAGAAGAAAATCAAGACAAAAAAGAATAAATCAAAAGAAATTAAAAACTTAGGTGAATAAACAAATGTTTTCTATTTTAAATAAACTAAAATAATAAATAAACCCTCACTCTCTTATCTCTGCTGACACCTTGTGGTGGAACTGCATAATCACAGCAAGCCAGAGTTTATTTCACATTTTAATCAAATCAATCAACATGTGTAAGTACTAATAAAACTATTAAAATTTAAGCTATAAACACATTTTATTAGTTTACTTTTGGTCTTGCTGTTTTTATACAGCACTTTACTTTATGATACATCATAAGTTCTGTTTGCAGGTTCATAAAATCAATAAAATCTGTCCAGAGAAAAAGAGAAAAGTCCCAAAACATTAATAGAAATTTGTAAATCTCCACTGACCACCACTGGAGCATTCATTCGTCAGTAATCTAATAATGTAAAATATAATTATATATACTTTAAAGGTATATTTACTTTTTATACTTTAAGTACATTTAGATTATAATACTACTTTTAAATGAATGATTTGTACTTGTAACGTAGTGCTTATACATCCTGGTACTCCAGCACTGATAGACACAACAAGGTGTGTCGTATTTTCTGTGTCATCCAATAAAACTGTGTAAGACCTAATAAACAAGGTGAATTTAATGCTTAAGTCAAGACATTATGAACATAATTGAGCTTCCAAGTTGTTGAAACACCTTGCTCCTAATCAATACGTCTGGTCTCAGCCAGTCTGTGGCACAGCTGACCTCTTTTAACAAGTATTTGTTTTATATTTGTTTCATATGAATCTCTCTTTGCTCCAGATGGAGACTGAGACGAGGGGTCCTGCTCAGACCAGTACTCCCCTCTCCTCCTCCTCTTCCTCCTCCTCCTCCTCTTTCAACCTCAGCGAGGCTCCTCGTCGACCCAGTTTCTGCTTCTCTTGGCTGAACCCCCTCCACAAGAAGAAGTAGAGGAAAGAGAGATGTGTTCGGAGAGGACGTTTGTTGAGGAGATGAAGAAAGATTCAGTCCAGAGTCTCTCGGCGCTGCTCTGGGACTGAAAACACACCGCACTGATAAAAACCTCAGACTGAAACCTGTTTTATTCTAAACATCCATCTAGTTCAAAACACATTGTGTGGACAAAACAGGAATAGATCTGCTCTGGATCTGTGTGCCTAAAGAGAAGAACAGTGACACTCCTAGAGGCTCTTATTTTGAAATGTTTTTTTTTTGTTTTAAATAGAAGCTGCTGCCCTTCACACTAAAAGTCTTCACAGCTTTCAAATTTGTGATTTTAAGTGTCATTAGCAGAGGAGTACTGCAGTGTAGAAGAATTTGGAATAGTATACTATAGTTATTATAGTAGCTATGGTTGGGGTACAGTTGTTGAAACAGGACAAGTTTTACCTGTTTTTAATAAAAGAAGTAGAATTGAGGTATTTACAGTATAGTTGAAGACATAGACGTCTTATAGCAGAGCTTGTAGAAGGAGGAGCAGCTACAGCAGAAGTACTACTACACAAAAGAGTTTTACTTGAACAAAATCTAATAATTAAGCGTTTCCTATCTCATTCTGTGGCAGATTTTGGTCGAATTAAACGTAAAATTTGGACGCATGTAGACATAAGAACCAATTAGGTAACATTTTTTATTTCTATCCAAAGAAATGTGAGGTTTTAACAGCTTTTTACTGGTGATGGGAGCTACTTGTTGTAGCTTGGAATTATAAATAATAGTTCTTAATGTACGAGGGGGATTGAGCAGTAGAGCTGTAACAGTATAGAAGTAAAGGATAAAGGGGAGTAGCTGTAGTATGAGTAGTAGAAGTGCTACTAGACGACCAGTTTGAGCCAATTTGAACTGGTGATTCTGGATGTCACATGTGAGTCGGTGTGGTTTGGTGATTAAAAAGATTTTATGATTTTGGTTTGAAAGTCTGTCGTTTTATTTTGTGTATAATTGTGAGTGTTTGAGTGGGTGGACAGCTGAGATATGAGTTTTGTTTGATACATGAATAGATGAAATAAATCAGAGTTTACTCACCTGCAGTGTGTGTGTGTGTGTGTGTGTGTGTGTGTGTGTGTGTGTGTGTGTGTGTGTGTGTGTGTGTGTGTGTGTGTGTGCACAGAAACCATGCACAGTGTCTCTCACTGAGACAAAAAGTCCCAAAACCCAAATACTTCAACACCTGTCTCTGTGAAGTCGTTTGACCACGCCGGAAGAGGGATTCTCATCAATCGATCACCTGTTGGCAGTGAGCAACATAACTTCCGGTTTGGAGGACACGCCTTCCAAATAAAAGCACGAAAACAAGCATCTGGTCTTCTTCAAGTCACTGCATGTTTAAAGTTAAGTGTTGAAGTACATCATTTATGCAAAAGTTTAATATATTGTGTTTTTGTTCCATATACATTTTATATAATAATATTAATAATAATAATAATAATACATGGCAGCAAGACGTATTGGTGTATTTTTTCTATTAACTCTGAATAAAACTAAATATGAGTAAATGTGTGGATCTTTTTTCTATGTTCATACAGTGGAAACGTGGTCCAAGATGTTATCATTACAGGTTTTGTGCTACAGCATGACGTGGACACATTCAGACTACACAAAGAAAACAGATTTGAGATAAGAGAAGATAAAATGTTCCTTTATTGATCCCTCACAGGGGAAATTCAAATTAGCACATCAGTACAGGGGAATGTAGTGCAAAGAGTAAAGAGAATGCAATAGAATAAAGTATAATAAAATATATAAAGACAAAAAGACTAATGTTTTTTTCTCTTGATCACCACAGCAGCATAAAATAGTATAAAGTTTATTTTATCACCAGCAGCTATCATTTAGTGTTCAGTCTTAAATGAAGCAGTATGTGGCTGAAAGATGGTTTTATTCTTTGGCCTAGTTCAAAAGTTAAAACTCAGAAATACTGTCTCATTCCCAATCCTTCTTTTATTCTACTGTCAGACTGCCAACCACAAATCTGTGCAAGAACATTGTCAATAAAAGAAGAAGCGGGAACAAAAATGTCAGTATACAAGTATTCAGTATGTTCATCTTTACCTGTGCCTATTTATTTTATTTTATCATTGTTGAAATTCAGTTTCTTTTAAAACATAAATACCATAATTCAAACACATCTACCCAATGCCGTGCATGTTGTATATAATGTATATACTGTGATATCCACCAACCTCATGTCCTACATAAAGAAACCTGCACGTAAATATTAATTTCAGCATCCTGAATGCACTCTATTGTCTACACATGTTATTGTTTTTGTTTATATATATATCTATAACAGTACATAGTTCAGAATCAGAATCAGAATCACTTTTATTGGCCAGGTATGTGTGCACAAACAAGGAATTTGTTGCTCTCAATGTACAAACACAGATTAATAGTATAAATAAACAGAACAACAACAAAAGACATAGGCTCATATGTACAATTATACATATATATATATATAAACAAACATTTGTAGATAGCAGGCAACGGTGCAGAGAGCAAAGGACGCTGAAATAAATATTTAACGTGCAGTTTATGATTATTTTGTTGAGCTTGTTGTCCTGTTTATTTATGCTTATTCTATGTATGTATGTATGAATGTCATTTATTTATTTTTTTACCTTTATTACCTACCAATTTCCTCCTCCATTTGCACTGTTTTCCTGGACCTTCTTTCATTCACTGTCTTTTCTAACTCCATCTGCACTACCTCTGCTAAATGCTGTGACTTTTAAATTGCACACAGTTTATTAAAAGCTATTTTATTTCTACTTTTACTTTTTGTATAGTTTTCTATTTTAATGTATGTTTGCTGCTACTGGATGCTTGAATTTCCCTCTGGATATATAAAGTATCTGTCTATCTATCTATCTGTCTATCTATCTATCTATCTATCTATCTATCTATCTATCTATCTATCTATCTATCTATCTATCTGTCCTATCTATCTATCTATCTATCTATCTATCTATCTATCTATCTATCTATCTATCTATCTATCTATCTATCTATCTATCTATCTGTCCAATCTATCTATCTATCTATCTATCTATCTATCTATCTATCTATCTATCTATCTATCTATCTATCTATCTATCTATCTATCTATCTATCTGTCCAATCTATCTATCTATCTATCTATCTATCTATCTATCTATCTATCTATCTATCTATCTGTCCAATCTATCTATCTATCTATCTATCTATCTATCTATCTATCTATCTATCTATCTTTTTTGGGTATCCTGATTACATAACTACATGTAATCCGTTACTCCCCCAACCCAATCCTGACTGACCACTGATCATCCCTCAGCAGAGATCTCCTCTCTCTCTCTATATATATATAGGTTAGAGATAATGTAGCCTAATGTATGTTTAATGTATACTTTATATATATTTTTTAGTTACGATTTTAATTCTACTCTTAAGGTTATCTATCTATCTATCTATCTATCTATCTATCTATCTATCTATCTATCTATCTATCTATCTATCTATCTATCTAACTATCTATCTATCTATCCATTTCAAAATAAAGGTTGTTTATATATATATATAAAACCTTTATTTTGAAATCCCTCAGCGGACGTGCCCGTGTCTCTGCCGTTGGCTCACGCAGGCGCACTTAAAGCTGAGCTGGCTGTTGTGGATCTGAGTCTGTTCCTGTCGACGACTTTCTCTGGAGTGGGAGCAGCAGCAGCAGCTTAAACAAAAACCCACAAAACACAACCACCAGGAAGACTTCTGGCACACTGCACCAGTCTGCTATCCACCATTTCACCCCAGTCGAGTTTAACTTCCGACAACAACTGAACAAAGGAGACATAAAGAAGGAGCTCTGTCCAACCGACGCCATGGACCCCGCCAGTCAAGGTAACGTTAATTGTTAGCTGGCGTATTAGCTTAGCTTTAGTGTTTGGCCCACCGGGACAGTTTACGGTTTTAATAAATTACCGGCAGTGTTTTATCTCTTTTTTCTTTTTTTTTTTTAAAAAAGCTACTTTGTTTTTAAAAGTTGAATGTGTTTTAAGAGGTAATACATGTTTAATAACCGAGGCAGTCGTGAGCACAGGACGGGCCCCGCTTGGTTAAATGACAGGGACAGCAAGTGAAGAGGAGGAGGAGGAGGAGGAGGAAGAGGAGGGAGGAAGAGGAGGATCGTGTTACTACTGCCACCAACTCCTCAACCCGATTTCATCTGATGTGACAGACATTGATTCAGCTGAGAAGAGCTTGTAAACACAACAGGGACTTAACGAGGGGAAGCTTGTTTTTGTTTTGGTGGTTAAAGAAGTAGAAACTAAAACTGCTGCTTTTTTATTTTTTTATTATTATATAACCTTCCCCACCTTTTTGTTTATGTTGTTTTTTTTTTTTAATGTGAAATACTTTGCATTGAAGGCAGTAAACAGACATTTTGTAGACACATAACATAATAATCTCAATCTGTTTCCATCATTGATTAAACTCACGACCCCTGATCAAGTGACATTCACATTGTATTCAATGTATAATGATAACAGTACAGAACAGCTGATGAACTGTACAATGAACCCAAATAGTGAACACAACAACTGCTGCAAGTTTGTGTAACACGAGCGATATTGAGAGATTATCGATCAGAGATTGATTTTCCTGATATTGTCTCTCTCTAAAGTTCATTTAACAATCATACATACTACCTAAACTATATTAACTTAAATTTAAAAAAACCCAGATTTCATTTAGTTTTCATACGAACAAACAGAATGTTAAAATATATCTTCTTACACCCCTGATAATCAATAAAGGAGAGATACTGTTTCAACAAAAAGCAGACAAAGCGGCGATATTACTGTCATATCACCTAAATCTGAGTTTATTTCCTCAAAACCTTAACAACAATAATGTGACTGCACTGCAGTCGCTCTTTTGCTGCCCCTATTTGATCTGAGAAGAAGAAACAAGATGTTTTTTTTTTAGACCAAATACAAGCAAATACATTTGGGTATCCACCGATATGAGTACTTTATACTCATTAACACGGTATCGGAGTAATTTTGTGTTGACAATTACGAATTCACGAGCACAGCATCGACCCGATAGCTGATACTGGTATTGGTGCATCCCTAATAATAATAATAATTTTTACTGCACAACATATTGTGGCAGCACGTTTTTCTTTCCGTATCTCCGAGTCGTTACAGCCCCAGAATCCCTCTGGGGACGTCCTTAATGAGACCTCCGGGGCTGAAAACAAAAAATGACGGACATGTCGTGTCGCATCAGGCTTCCTGCGGCCTCGGGATGAGCAGCTTTTAGGAAGTGATTAAAGATTGCCTACATTTGTCTTCAAGTGTGACGTGAACTAGGGCATGTCTGTTTTTAAATAAAATCCTGCTACTACTGTTTCCTATGTGATGCTCTGAAACCTGAGAATAGGATTTCTGGATGAGCTGGGGGCTTTTTCCTGACTGATGCATCCTCACATGACGCTGCTGTCAAACTCCATCCCAAGAGAATTTCGTTAACACTTATCTGGGATGTACCTTTTGCTTTTTATGGGTCCAGTTTAATGTGTTTTTTCGTTTTAGGAAACAAATACAGTCAGGAACACCAACAACAGAAGATGTCGGGTAAATTAAATAGCAAGGACGCATCACAGAAACAGCAAGAAATAGACCAGGATGCAATGCAGCAGCGAGGTTGGGTTTTTAAGTGAGGGCTGTGATTGCATCCATGCCTCAGTGTTTACAGAGTGGTTGTGCCGCTAGTAAACCAACAAGAAGAAGCACATTATGAACTCTACGAGCAGCTAAACCTTTCACTGAAAGCAACAGAACTTGGACTGACTCTGGGTGTTATCAGAAGGCATTCTGGGAAGTGTAGGAAATCCCCTAACTGTCCAAAATTCCAGAAAGAAATCATTTTTTTTTGTAGTCAGCACCTTTTCTGCTCTCATATGAGCCTTGTTGTCTCTCTCTCTTTAACCTCGCTGCTGTTATTCCTGCGGGCCGGTCTGAATCATTCTCGGCTGAATCAATACACCTTGAGGGTGGAGCCGTCATATCTGTAGCCAGCTTGTGTGCGGACGTTAGTGCTGAGACTGTGGATCACCCGGTGTCTCCAGTGCTGCCTGCAGATAATGCTAATCTTGGGTCTTTTGCAAAACTTGTTTGTTTGTTGTCTGATGTATTGTGCAAGCCGGTGTGCAGTCAGTCGTGTAGACGTAGTTCACTCAATTAGGGATTAAAGGGCAAACTCAGTGTTTCATTCAGAGCTTCTTTCACGCTTTAAAAAAAGTAAAGATTTCAGTTTAAGATGCTGGGGATGAACTAAAAGACAGTGTCTGTTCGCTGATGTGGAAGTGGGTGTGTCTGTAAGCAATGCAAGGCGTTGAGTTTAACTTTCATAATGGGCTCGCCCACTGAATAAATACTGTTTGAATGTTGGACTTTAACTGCATACAGTCTATTTTTACCCAGTGTTTCAGGCTGTTTCTTTCTTTCTCTGGTTGTGTCCTCCATGCCAGCTCCGGCTGTGCCAAGCTCCTGTATCTGCCAGAATTAGGAAGGTGTCCTCAGGTGAATGACGCAAGGTGAAGTCATTGTCATAGAAATGCTGACAGGGGAAGATTTTTGGTGTTCAAACTGGTATTTTATATGCTGTCAACTATCTCTGGATGAATTTAACTTACACAAGAATAGATTATGGCTGTGTTTTGTTCTGTTTCTTCCTCCTTTTTGTTTGTATTCATTATTTCTGGTCGACTGTTTCGCAGCGTTCCTGTTGCCAGAAAGCGAAAGGTTTAACGGTTCTCAGACGGGTCTTAAGTTACTCTCCCAGAATGCAGTGCACCCCCAGGCTCTGCTAATTGCTACTTTCTCTTCCTGTCGGATATCTCCTGCTGGCAACGCTAGCCCTTTTCCTGGCCTTGGTTTCTGTGTGTGAAATAGATACGGAGAGAGGGATCATCTGAGTAAACCACTCTCGGCTTTTAACACTTCAGCTGATCTAATTTGTTTACCCTTCTTTCACTTTCCCATTAACTTTATCTACTCTTCACCTTGTCTTCTCCTCCTCCCTTCCCTTTATCCCATCACCTTTCTCCTTCTCTCTCTCTCTCTCTCTCTCTCTCTCTCTCTCTCTCTCTCTCTCTCTCTCTCTCTCTCTCTCTCTCTCTCTCTCTCTCTCTCTCCTGCCTCTCCAGATATCAACCTGAACTCTCCTAACAAGGGTCTTGTTGTGGATAACACAGACAGCCTGTCCGACGTGCCGGTGGAGGGAGCGGTGGGGAACTCAGCCAACCCTCTTCCACCCGGCCTGACAGAGGAAGAGGCTGAGGAGCTCCGCACTGAGCTCACCAAGGTAGGGCCCGGATGATCAGGTGTTTTACATTTAATTATAGGCTACAGTAGTAATGTGTGCTTTGCAGATGCTGTAGAAAAGCACCCTTGCAGTGAAGTCAGAGGAAGACCTTTGATGGGTTGAATAAAAGCTTCAGGGAGCTCTGATTCCAGTTTGTGGGTTGTTGTTTTTTTATTTTTATTTTTTTTACATGTAACTACCTAACCTACAAAGAGTGCCTTACAATTATTTAAAAGTACCAAAACATCAATAATTGTATACCTGACCCTTCCTAAATGTCCCCTTTCCTGAACTTAGATGTGCTTTGTGCTCATCTGTGTTGAAAGGACAGGCAAGATGCTTAAAATATAAAAGCGACATATAATATGTAGTCACACCTTAAGCAAAACAAACGCGAGCAAACTAGCTGAGTAACGATTAATGTAAAATAATTATCTATCTAATGTAGAAATAGCTAGCTAATCATTGATATAGATTAGAGTTTTGTTATCATTAGCTAACTAACTTGATGTGATTGTACGTTGCTTTTATATTTTAACCATATCGAAGTAAAGGAAAGGAGACAGTTGACCGAGGTTCTGACCTCAACTGTTATTGGAGCACAGAGCAAACAGAGTCAATTGCTTCTGGCTGCCCTTAATTATTATTATAACAATAAAATGTTTTAATGTATGTGTTTTTAATTTAGTTAGTTATTTACCTCTTTATTTTTGTTTTTAATTATATAACTGTAAAAGTCACCTATTGTTGTGTTTAAATGTACTCTATAAATAAATTTGTCATAATTGTTGACATTTTACGGACTAGATACATAATAAGCCCTTGTCAACGCAGACATTTTGGCATGTGATAACGGGATAAGTGCACCTGTAATTATGACAATGAAGGCTGCTTTTCATTTTAGATAAGGTAGTGACAGAGTCAGAGTATTGTGAATGCTCACTCACTGGTTTGGCTAACTTGAATACTTAATAGAACAAAGCAATCAGTAATGTGTGTGTGTGTGTGTGTGTGTGTGTGTGTGTGTTAGCTCAACCTGTCAAAAGTCAAAATATCTAATGCCTGTTGTTTTATCAAAAACACATATTTTTTTCAGTTTTCTTGGTCTCTGTAGCTGTACAGGACATAAATGGATTTAGACACTTAAAACACTCCTGCAGAGTTAGAGCCATGGCAGCCTGACAGTTTGAGACTGTGGAATTGATCATAGAAGAGGGAAATGGATGAATGAAAAGGAAGCCCCCAGACTTAACTCTTTCTGATGGGTCTGCTGTGTTTTAGGTGGAGGAAGAGATCAACACCCTGCGTCAGGTTCTGTCAGCCAAAGAGAGACACGCTGCTGAGCTGAAGAGGAAACTCGGCCTCAGCCCGCTCAATGAATTAAAGCAGAACATCACCAAGAGCTGGCAAGACGTACAGACCTCCAACGCGTAAGTATTAAATCATTTAAACACAACAGATGAGACAGAAATGCACCTGAAGTAGTCCTATAAAGTATTGTTTTTCTTTCTTGTCAATTCCTTCAGTGATCTAACAAGTTAAAATATACACAACCAACTCGGGCTCCTCAGGTTTGCTTGTGAACGTTCAATCACAATCTCTTCGTAGCTTCCAATATAGTTTCTCTCTGTCCGAAAATCTGAAACATAATCACATTTGTATTTATTACATACTAAACAAACATTTGGACCTTGTTACCTGGAAGGTTTATCAGATAACAAAACTTTGCATTGCGGTTTACGATGAAAGGGATTTCACAACTCTGGAAAGTTATCAAGGCGACAATCATGTTATCTTCCCTTTGGCGAACAGGAAAGTTAGCCCGTGTTTAATAATGTTACAAAGTAGTTACGGGAATGTGCCCCTAAATGTATTTGATGGGCCAAAACAAAAGTTCAACTTTTCTGCTGGACGAACCTTTTATATCTTTCTGTTTCTGTTGTGTTTTCTGGTCTGAATGTCGATCTGATCACAGCATTAGCCACAGCAGAGCAATGAAAACCTCGTCAGAGCTCCACCTGTTGAATGTTAAAAACACAATAGATATTTTATCTCGGTTAAAAAGATGACATCAGTACAGTAGAGTTGGAAATGCCTGTTTGGTTTAGGATATGGACAGAAAACCTTTTGTATCATGTTTCAGATTTTATGGCTAATTTAAAACAAGGAGCATTAACAGAGAGTCACCATGTATGCAAACATTATACAAATGTTTTAGCAAGATGGAAGAATAAACAAGGGTAATAGATTCTTACTAATCCAGTTTGGTTTTAGGAAGTAACAGAGATAAGATAAGACTTTGAGAAATAACAGCCTTCTAAAATATGTCACTTACAAATGTTAATAAACATTTTTAGAACATTTCTTTTTACCCCAAGTCACGATGAGCAGCCCATTGAGATGAACCTTGAATCCACACTTCCTGCAGACGTTCTCTGATGGTAACTGCTTTATCAGAAAGAGCTAGACACAAAATGACTCATCCTGTGGTGACACATCCCGGCGTCTGAAGTCTTTAGATTAAGTCCTGCAGAGGTTTACATTATAAAGGATGACTGCAAACCTTTTAAACAGAGGCTGCTTCCCTTGACTTTTATCAGACATAATAATCATGTTTTTTACAGTTGCTCTGATCATGGTTGTTAATCATGCTTGTCACAGTTGGGGAACAAATATGTACATGTTTTTTGTTGTTGTTTTTTTTTAAACCCAGCAGCTGCTCTGTTTGAAATTAAATTTGATGCTTTAACATCATCAGAGTTTGGCAGTTGATTTTAGTCACTAAAATGGTTAAAGATATGATTACACATGATTAATTGAGCAGCTGTAGTTATTGACCTCAGCAGGAGGCGTTCACACAGGGTGATTTGAAGAATCTTAATGAGGATGCAACAAACTTTCTCTGTAAAATGATACTGCTGAAACTCATTGTTGTTTGATTTCAAAGGGATTTATTTAATTTTACATTTTAAATCGCCTCATTTAGGAAGCATGTAGAATATTCAGCACGTTTTTATATATATATATATATATATATATGTCAATGTATACACCAACAAAATATATAAAATATTACCCCCGGAAATGCATTTGTACAAGAAATTGCAAAAAGTTGTGACCTGCTGCGATCAAGACGAAAATCAACACATTTATATTGACTGTACACTTTACTTTGTCACACATTAACTGACCCAACAAAAAAAATAATGTCCAGTATTAAATATTATGAGGACATTAATTGGTATGTACAGTAAAAGCTCCTGTTACCAAGTCAGACAAACAAGGGAAAAAATGTTAGATTTTTCTATTTAAGGCTTAGGGGTGCCCTCCTCTATTAATCATTTATCAGATTCCATGTGGTTTGTGCTGTTCACACTGTCATATATGAGCAAAAAAAAAATTGATTTGGGCCACTTGTGCCTGCAGTGTGAACGCAGCCTAACAGGGTTCAACAATAAGGATTGTCCGATTAAGTAAACCTTAGTAAAATTTCAGTTATCCTGTAAACAGTTGGGTGGCGTTAGAGTATGTGGGTGAGAGTCAAGAAACGCAAGGTGGATAAAACAAGGTTGTTTTTAAAGCTCAGGTTTTTCAAAGTTTTCAGTATCTCGCTTGCATGGCACCTTAGAGTGTCTTTGTGGGTATTTGATAACTACTAATAAGTTAAACAATTTGTATACGGGCAAGTGAAAAAACCCCGTCAACGTTGAACCCTACAATACGAGTATTCGCTCAGAGAACGCAGCCTTATAAAATGACTTCAGTAAATCCCTGACAGCCTGAATTTTAGTCTTTATGGTGGCAAGAAAGAAAGAGAGTTAAAGGACAATAACATAACTATTTACTTTGTGACCATGTTTGATCAGTTGTAACTTAATTCAAACCATTTTTGGGGGGATTTTCTAACCCTGGCTTTCTCTTTGAGCCAGCTTGCTTAAAGTCCATGCTGAACCTCTACAGCTTAACACCCTCATGTCTCTGTTTCTAGCTATGTGAGAACCACTGAGAAACTGGGCGAGTGGAATGAGAAAGTTACCAGTTTGGAGCTGTGAGTCCATGCACTGTTTGCTGCTCGCTCAACGGTGATGTCTGGGCCTTCTGCTGTGTTTGCTCTCTCACGCTCTGACTTTTACTCACTCAAACACTCTGAAACCTTCACACCTTCTAACCATGTTTGAGAACACTTTCATTTCAACAGTTGCTGTTTAACTTCATGTCTTTTAGGGGGGGACAACCATTTATCTGTAGTCTGTTTACTCTGTTTGTTCATGCTTCCAAATACGTGTGCATTCATCTGCTGAACTTTATTGGAGAAAGTGAATTTCTGTTTCAGGTATGATTGAGCTAAACTGGAGCGAGACCAAGTTTAGCAGTAGTTCCTGTAATTGTAATGATGTCTTACATTTTTATACATAATGGATTTTCTGGTTTCCTTAGCAAGCGTCTTTGACCTTGTTCGTGAGCTTTTCTGAGTCTGAGGGACCTACTTTGATGGATTCAGGTTCAGTACTCCTGCTCCTGTTGCATGTGGGGCTCGACTTGTAGCACCGAAGTGGAATTTGACGCGTCTCAGTTCTAACCACTGCAGCCTGAGTTACATAACTGATTCACCTGAATCTGTGTTTGTCCACTGTGGCCTCTGACTCACATTTTAGTGTTTGATAATCAGATTTTTTTAACGTGGTGCTGTAGGTCGAGACGGTTCAGTTTTGAGACGTGGCAGGATTTCTTTAATGAAAGTAGAGCTACAGGACTAATGTACGTAACGAGGATAATTTAGATCTTTTTCCTCTTTCTGTTATCATTTATCATTCTCTGTTTATCTACAGATGGGTGACAAATTAAAGGAAAACCAACAAAGTGTCTTAATAATGTGTCGCCAGGATAGCTTCTATGCAGCTTGGCATTGATTCTACAGGTCTCTCACCATTCATCTAAATTATATTCCCTCATTTGTTCTTTTAATGATGGTGGTAACTGTACCAGTCACACACATTCGCCCACTTATCAACAGTATGGTGAATGCTGACTCATCTGACCATATCACTTATTTCCAGGTCTCTGCAAACCAGAGCCTATGGTTATTTTCAATTATACCATACTGTGCACCTGTGTGGAAGCATCTGCATTCGTTATGTTTCTCCACTCACTTATTGAGGTTTTCTTTTGATGTGTCACTCGTCTGTATATCCCTTATCTGTTAGTTTTCTTTCTTTCTCTTCAGTTTTCTGCCTCTACCTCCTTCCTATCAGTGTCACCCGTCTGTTGTTTTACTTCCTCTCACAGAGGTCAGGTGTCCTCTCTTCCTCCACCCAGAAGTGATGACACATGTCCTCCTCTCTACTTCCTCTCCAAATCTTTTGTATATTTTCAGCTTTCTCAGATGCTTCCTCTCTGCTTTTATTACCAGTGGCCAAGCTGAAGACTGACACTATTGTCTGTTTCTGTTTTTGTCTTTTTTGAGTTTGTTACACAAAAAGAGAATCTTTTTTTGGATGGGTTGGAGTCGATGAGTTCTGTGCACAGAAAGGTTAATAATGAAAAGTCGAGGCTTTGTTGTAGTATAATCAGGTCACCCAATGGTTATTTAGCTTGTCTGGCAGCCTCTTTGTGTTTGTTTACCTAGATGCCCTAAATTGACCATTTTATATGTCGAAAATAAAGACTCTGTTAAAGCCATACACTGGTAATGGTTGCCCATGACATAATGATTTCAGCCTGAGGGCTGATTGGCTAAATCAATTGGCACACAATGGAGAAACAGAAATCATGTAATGATATAATGAACAGTGTTGATCTGATGGCAGATCTAGCCGGTGAATGAAGCAGTGACTTGCAACCATTAGTAATTAGCCATGTTTATGAGTAGATTATGATACAATGGGCTCCTGGCCACAGACATGTAAAAGGCGTCCTGCCTCATGATGCTTATGATTGTTTTGTTTTGCGTCTTTACAATGAAATGTTCCAGGTTAACAATAACTCTAGTGCTGAAGTTGGTTAATAACTGAGCCTGAACTTAAGTATTTTGTTCATGTTGGAGATAAAGAGAGTCTGTTCAACTCGTTTTCAAAGCCACCACAGAGCCACACTGATGCCTCCCCATAGATATTTGTTCAAAATACTATAGGACATTATATGAATCATAGAAAAAAACATGTGGTGCTATTATTATTATTATTATTATTATTATTATTATTATATATTGTTAGTATGGCTATTCTGCTGTCAAGCATATTTCCATTTCTTGAGTAATTATAGTGCAGACTTTGTAGCTTAGGTTGTGCAGCAGTATTATGGAGGAAAAAAATCTAAAATATAGGTTAATAAAAATAAATCGGACAGATACTCAATATTAAAGGATTAGAAGAAAGAATGTAGTCTGGACATCCCCTATGGAGCTATTTGATATACAAAGAGAAATTGTGTAATCCATTTATTACCAGATTTTTAAAAAAATGGTTTGTACTTCTGCTGAACGAATCTGGTCTCAGTAGTTGGCAAGAAAAACACAAAATCAGTGAGTTTTCTGCCCGTTTCCACCATGCTGCTGCTGCTGCTGCTGTAAAGTCTGACGCTAATGGAATTTTCCACATGGCTGCTTCTGAAATGAACTGGATTGGCAAGCTTACTCAGATAGTTAGGCTAACCCTGACAGGGTGACGCTGCTGACACTGTTATTGACTTTTACACACACACATACGCACACATTCACAAACAGTGGCAGGTGCACCCTTGGTCTTGGTTTGTAGTGTTTGTTCTGCTTTCACACACAGAAATAGACAGACATGTCGGCGCACACATATTTCCCACACGCTCTGTCTCGAGTTTCAGTTATGGGTTCGCTCACACAACCAGAATAATTGTGATTATTACACATATTTGCCTAGAATACAAGCAGAAACAAGGGCAGGCAGGCACATTCTTGTTGTTTTTAGACCTACACATATGAAAACAATTCCAAGTACAGTACAGGAAAGTGTGTTTGTAGCTGTTACCCATACACACACACACAAACACACACGTGTGCGTGCGTCGTGCCTGGCGACCAGACGGGCAGCTTAGACTTGCTGCTGCAGGAACAAGTGGGAGGAGAGGAAAGGAATGTGAGAGAGAGAGAGAGAGAGAGAGAGAGAGAGAGAGAGAGAGAGAGAGAGAGAGAGAGAGAGAGAGAGAGAGAGAGAGAGAGAGAGAGAGAGAGAGAGAGAGAGAGAGAGAGAGAGAGAGAGAGAGAGAGAGAGAGAGAGAGAGAGAGAGAGAGAGAGAGAGAGAGGTTAGAGAGTGCACAGAGCTGAACTGATCCAAACAAAGAAATAAGTGGGTTATGAATTATGAATAAGTTGGAGGCACAAAGACTCGGAGTGGGTTGCCATGAAAACTGGAGTGGGTGGGGAGAGTCAGTCAGCTGTTGTACTCAATTTTCAGCTCAGTTAGGTGTTCTTTGTTAGCATGACAGTAAAAATTAATAAGCATTTCTTTCTATATTTAATTTGACAAAGAAAGTCTAACCACCTCCCCTGTAGCCATGTGTGTATTTCACCCGTTAGTATTTCACTACTCTTTCTACACAAATCTTTAGTGAATAAGCTGATTGAACTGTGATTTTATTTCTCAAAATAAACATGCAAATGTTAGGGAGACAAAAACCTTGTTGCTATCCAAATTATTGTGTACAACTACAGCGGTTACACAGTGAAGTGGTGTATGGACAGACAGTGTACTGTGATAAGGCTGCTCTGTATGAAGTCACTGTGCAGTACAGTAAGCAGCATTGTGCGGATGTAAGTCAGAATATAGAGACTGGCCTTGTCTGGAGCAGAGCCGTCTCCTGTTACTGTAATAGCATTGAACCAGGGGGGAAAATGTACCGCTGCTATCTGCTAGGTCATCTTTTATGTTATTACTGTGGTGTTTTTGCTCCGAGTTTACTAAAGATCATTTGAGTCAGTGTGAGCAAAACTTTCCTGTGGCTTTGATGTTTGAGTTTCTGTTGGTGCCACTTTCTGTTAATCCTAAACAAACCTGTTGCTGCTACTGTAAATGTAGCATGCATCCCTTGCTGTGTGCATGAAGGTGCAGTCACACTCGCACCAGTCTGTGAGTAGTTACTCCATCTCTCACTTGTGAAACATAGGAACTTAATATTTAAGGGCAAGCTCCGGCCGATTTAGGGCTCCTTACTAGAACCTAGAACTCCTTACTATTCTATTTGTATGTTTTTATTCGCAAGCCAATCGCTGCAAAGGCTTTAATGTGACATGTAATTGGCCCGCTACCGCAGCTACAAGCTACAGTCTGTAGTGGTGAAGCCGAGCGGAGTGTATCTGACAGAGCTGGCAGTTCAGCATGCCGAGATGCCACCCAACCGTTGAAAAGTATGGCTATACTACACACCTGTGGCGTAAAAATAAGTACATAAAATGCGGAAGGATTATTTCCGGGAAAAGCTAAAGATTCAAGGGTACTGGTATTGTAATTATTTTAAACAATTCCCAGCTTCTATAGAAGCCTGCACCAAATTCAAGCATGATGTTTCAGTGCAATCTCCAGCTGGTCTGGCAAGCCTTGAAGTTCAAATGACAGCAAGTGACAGCATCGTATTCATGCATTGCTTGATTTATAATCTCTCTCATCAGTATTTATTCATTGCCCACATCAGAACTGCCACATCACATCCACTTTGAGTGAAAGAAATAATAAATAGAAAACTGCTGCTGAATATATCTTCATTTTCTGTCTTCATATCTCGTGTTTTTTCAGTGTTCATATGATTGACTCTCTATACTAATTTGACTTGCGATTTAATTGAACGTGGTTCATTGGTTTTGCATTAGCAGTCAGAACATACTGTATATCCAGAGGACATGTGGTGCACTGACAGCCTGCACACAAGCTTAAAGATATAATTTTACATCTCTGGAATGTGATCGAACCACTTTCTTTCAGTAGGATATATTCGTATATGTAGCTGTCATGTCTCTGCAGCCACTTAAATATACAAGTAATATTTAAGCTGTTTACACTGCTGGCTGTGTTGAGTGAGACATTCACAGTGTTGGGATCAGGAGTCTTATGACCACCTGTGTTCAAACATTCAGGGATCAAAGCCTCCACCAGATTAATGTAAAGTGAGACCTCCTGTCATTCTTCTGCCGTGCTTCCGTTTCTGCTCCGCTATTGTTTTAGCGGGCAGTCAGCACAAACACACTTCCTCTCTTTTTGTAGACACCGTACAGGCCTGACTCTGTGTATGTGTGTGCTTTTTAAAAGTATGTGTTCAAGCTTGCTTTGCCTCTAATCATGAACAGGTTGTGCTGTCTGGTGTTTGATCTATTAACCGGTTTGGTGTTTGAGAGTTACCATAGGACAGTTTTCCACACTAATGCATCAGCTCTTTCAACTTTTCCACTAACTTTGTGCTTTTGGGACATTTTACCCTCGCAGCTTCCTGTAGATTTCACATACAATTGACTGAAGGCAGTTTTAGGCAGTTAGTCAGAAGGGTATGCAGGGAAACCAGTGCCTGCTATCAGGAAATACTGGAGTTTATCTTGTGATCAGCTGTTTTTATCAAAGCATCTATCCTCATCTGCTTCTCTGTACAACCTGCAGAGTGACTCTTGACAGCAGTAGGTGCAACAGCACAAAATAGTTTACAACTTTCTTGTGTTGTGACCCCTTAAAACGAAGCATTGCTTACATGTGACCCCTCATCATCACCTACTTCAGTGTTGTTGTTTTTTTACCCTTTGATTAATTTTTTGAATCCTGAAGCAGTAAAATTCAATTGACAAGAAAAAAAAAAAGTTTTCCACACAAAAGCTTTATATAATGGCAATCAGTTATCATCTTGCAACGCCATCAGGTTGATTGGGCGACCTCTTGGGACCTTGATCCCAGGGGGTAGATAATAATGGTAAAGTCGTGGAACAAGATGGTCTGTAACTAAAATTCTTGAATCAAAATATAACAGTTTTACAGAAGTTAACTTTATGCAATGTTACCCTATGTTAGTTATTTGCTTTCTCAAAAGTTCAGCCTCTAATATTGAAGGAGGAACTACTGTTGTTTTCCTGTAGCACTAGAGTTTTCACACGCTGCACAGCAAGGGTTAGAGTTTGTGGCACCTTTTTAGAAGAGCTGAATTAAAGGTCCAGTGTGTAACATTTAGGAGGATCAACCCCCAAAATAAATGAACTATAATATCCATAACTATGTTTAATTTTGGTATAATCACCTGAAAATAAGATTCATATTTTAGTTACCTTTTTAGAATGAGCTTTTTAAATCTACAGACGCTGTGTGTCGCCTTCCATGGAGGCCGTCGTGTTTCTACAGTGGCCCATAATGGACAAACCGACCACTGCTAGATGCCACTAAATCCCACACTGGACCTTTTTTTTCAAGTATTTTATACCACAAAGGAGAAAAATCTGACTCCATTATAGCAGATACAGTTATAGAGATATGGATGGGTGATTCCAAACACTCTGCATTTTAGTTTAGTTTTTATGTCGTCATAAATAATGAAAATAGATCTTGGTAAACTGGGATTATTCAGTGTAAACAATTTCTCATCCCTTTGACCTCATTTTGTGTGGCTGATATTCAGTATTCTGCAGTATTAAATCTAATTTCTTATTCATTTTCTTTCCTTGAAGATTTAATTACATTTGTTCTTCCCTTTGACATTATCTGTAGCAGATTTCTCTGATGAAAGCTGGACAAAATATCATATGATAATTTGTGATTACATTGTGTTATGATGTCATTTATCCTGAAAAGGAAAAACCATCACCAACTGCTTCTGTTTAATTGTCAAAAACCTTTAAACATCCAACTGCACGTCCACTAAAACCCTTCAAATCCAGTGCAGTCCAAAACAAACGTTTGGAGTTGGTGTAGAAGTTGGAAATGAGAAATCTGTAGGAAGTGTAACTCTACTGTACTGTATTGTGAGTATGTGTCTCTTCCCCTGTGTCATTATCCTGCTGTTGTGTCTTCAGATATCTGTCTGCCTCAGCCACTTTGGATGACATTGCCCGCTCTGAAGCGTGAGTTGACCCCTTTCTCTTTTGTGTTCTTGTTTTGTTTTTGTAGATGAGCTAAGGTTTCTTAAAGTGTGGTTTTCTTTTGGGGGATTTTTTTTTTTTAACTTCACTATCCATCCTCTTCTGTTTCCGTTTTGCTGTTTTGATGGTGAGGGTGTCGTAGTATGTATCTATTTTAGATTTTGAATGAGCACAACTCAAAATGATGATACAGTACATACTTGTCAGAGTGTTCCTTCAGTGTGGAGGGTCGGCCACGTTAATGGACACAGTGTGTGTTGATACTCAGCCACACCAGCTTATCTACAAAATTGTATTTGCTCAGTTCCTGTGAACCATCTGCCGCTGAGCCTTGTTATGTGTTAGAGTGGCCCAGCTGATCGTGATGTAGGCCTTTACCCAGGATACGTGTGTGTCTGTGTGTTTGTTGTGTGTGCATACAGCTGGTGAGGGAATGTTTATTTCAGCCTGTTGTTAGTTTTTGCCAGTTTGGGTGGATTTAAGTGGATTTAAGAGTGCATATTTCTGAGTATTGTTCTGTACAGGGGTATTTGTGTTGGTGTGTGTGTGTGTATCTATGTGTGTCCATGTTTGCAGGTGTAGTTTGACCACACCTGCTGACCTTGTTAATCTCAGTGAGTCACCATTTTGGATTCCTGTTGTTAGGCCAAGTTCCCAGCTATCCACTTTCTTAAAGGATTAGTTCAGCATTTTGGTAAATAGGCTTTCTAAAACGGTCTTTCTCTCTGAGAGGGGAAATTAGAAGGTCGATGTTATTCTAATGTCTGAGCATTAGGTATGAAGGTCGAGCTGGGGGGGGCTTAATAATTTTTGGGGTAAAAAAGGGCGGGAGAGAGAAAAAAAAAATTAATTTTTTTTTGAGAAGCCTTGTTCTTAGCTTTACTGGAAAACACTGAGCAGTTCTATTTGTTATAGTTAGCGTTGGCCTGTTTTTATTATAGTTTTTTATCCTTAAATTAAATTATTGTAGGTGATTTTAATATTCATGTGGACTGGAGAGAGCCAGGTTAGCTGTTTCCTCTGCTTCTTAGAAAAAGCAAAATTATAGTATTAGCTTTATCCAGTAGCACCTTTTTATAAACAGAGTTTACAATGTGATTTTGACAGGACAATGCACATCTCACCGTCTGACGACAAAAAACCACAAATTTCGCTTGTTTTTCAGTCCTAAAAATCTCTAAATCAATCTCAGGTATAAGATTATGCAATGTCAGTTCGAATCTAAAGAGTAACACTATGCAGAGCTGTCTTCGTTATGCACAACCTAAAAATACCCCGCACAGCTAGAGAACCGGCATCCACCTAATTTATCAGTTTCAGCAGAGATAGAACAGAAAAGTCTGCACACCAATTAATCTCCTGCTGTTTGTGTCTCCTGACAACAGTACAGCCTAAAATCAGTACACTGCTGTTAGCATGCGTTAGTCACCCAGCACTCAACAAAGTAGAATCAGCACACTGATTAGTCGACTCTCCTCTCTTCACCTCTTGTAACCGGAGATAATGCTTCATCAACAAACACAAACTTTATTGTCATTGCACAGAGAACAGATACTGAGGTAATGAAATGCCAGACCGGATGTGCAAAACACAGAGTGCAGAGTAATATTGGCAAATTTATACAATGACAATAATATTAATTGTGTGAATTCTCTTTCATTTATTTTTCATCAAAAAATTTGTCCATGTGTAATTTGTTTTTTCTCCAATTTTCATGATGTAGAAATGTTTTGATTGTTATCATACAAAAACATTTAATTTGTTTATAGCTCAACACCTAGCTTCAGTGTATTTACATCATAGCGGAAAGGTTACTCTTATGTTGCTTGCAGTAACCAAAACTTTTCTTGTGTTGTGAGCCTGGAAGGAGCTTTTGGCCTTTAAAATCTTAGAATTTAGGTGTTGGTATGAATGATTTAGGAGCACTGCTTGGAAGAAATAGGCAGGTAAGACAAAAGTAAACAGGAGCTCCTGCAAACTGCACCACATGGCAGCTCAGTATCACTGATGTACTGTATTTTAGCTGGAATAAAAACTAAAAATATATATATAAATGTACATATATTTTCCTGAAGGATCTCTACTTTAATCTCACATCTAAATTAGACATCTGGACCTACATGGTGAGTGTTCTGGGTTTTATCTTGAGCAGTATTTGGCAGCAGTCCATTAAGGTTAATGATCCAAGCTGAGCAAACTGCAGTGCTCCACACCCAGCCAGATACACAAAACTGCTAGTGCCATAGTCAGGCCACTGTTTGTGAAACACTTGTGGTATACAGTAAGTCACAGTACAGTTCTAAGTTGTTGTTCTACTTGTAGGTGGATTGTTATTTGATTTAGTACTTCTGCCCTGTTAAAATATCCTTGTTGTGTTCCCTGTCTGTTCCATCAAAGAGAATAATTTCCCTGGAATTTTTCATAATTATAAGAATCAGTTTATTTCCAAGAAGCTCGTCGGGAGCCATTTATTTGAACTGCTGAACCGTAGCTATGGTAGGAGGTAACCGCGTTGGTCTGAAAGATACACTTAAGATGTTGGAACTAAAAGTATGCTTCAAAACCACCCTCATCCCAAACTCTCTGAAACTGACAACCTGACTGTCGCCCACTTTGTGCAGAGATGGGCCAGATGTGTGGAGGTGAGAAAGGAGTTTCAACTTTTCTCACTGGGAATGTCTTTTAAAGAGTGTCTGAAAGTGTGTGCCATTATCTGCAGCTCCTCCCTCTCTATAACAGCAGAAAAAAAGCTACAAACGCTCTTGCTTTTAGACTTTTACCCTTTTGTACAAACTACTTCAGTTTGTACCCTTAAGTGTACCTTTCTTTGGGGGCTAAATCGTTGTGCTACCTGCTGCAGCGAGCATTGACAAAAGGGTTAAGCCATAGATGAGAAGAGAAGAAAGGCTATGTTATAATAAATAATTTCACCTAATTTACATTGTATAACACATCATAGTTGCATTTTCCTCATCAAAATACACTGTTCATATTGTGATACTTTATATAGAGGCATACCCTGAGAGATGGGGTTTGTCAGCTTGAGTGTTTTCATTTTGCCGTCATGCGCACTCTTCCATACAGTGAAATAATAAACAGAAACCTAAAGTCTAAAGCCCTTGGCTGCAGTGGGACATGCTGAATCATATCTGCCATTAATACCGATGGGGCTCTCATTGCTTCTGCTTCTTAGGGATTACAGGGGGTGTTTCAGGAGAAGAATTTGGACAGTATGCTGAAATGGACTAACTCTTTTTATATTGTGAAAAAAGGAAATCTCTTCTGGTGGCTATTTTTTGACGCCTTTTGGCCTTTTGGCACTTGCTTGCTGTGACGTCTGACTGTATTTGTGTGTGAATACTAACCATTGGGCTGGTGAATGCTGCACTGTGGGATGGAGTAACTTAAATCTCTGTTAGCTTTTGTCTTCATGTTCCCTGTGGTCACATGGTTTAGTCTAATTTACCTCCTGTTTTTTTTTTTTTTTTTTACCCTTCTACCCATCTCCCTCGTTTTTCTTCATCCTGTCGCTCCATCCATTTTGTTTCTTTCTGCTCTCGTTGTTTTTTTCTCCATCCATCCTCCTCCCTTCTTCTTTCTCTTGTCTCTCCTTTTTTCTCCATCCCACAACTTCATTCATTCCACTTCATTCCACTCCAACCATCTGTCCTCCTTTCCGTTCTCCATTGTTCTCTTTCCATTCTCCTGTTCCCACCTTTCCTCTCTCCCTCCATTCTTCCATCCCTCCCTCCCTCCACCTCCTCCTCTCTCCTCTCTGCAGATACAAGAAGACTCAGGAGACTCTCTCCCAGGCGGGACAGAAGACCAGTGCAGCTCTCACCACAGTGGGCACGGTCATCAGCAAGAGACTGGGCGACATGAGGTATGACGCAGCAGAGCCAAAATGGCCGTCGCGCTGGCTAGGCTACAAGAACAAATGAGCAGAGTGGACAGTGTTGAAACAGAAAGATCCCAAACCCAGAATGTCATACGACTGATCTGTATTTATTCTGGGAAACTGAGGGAAGAAGATAGAGGTTTGAACTTATGAAAACGTCAAACAGCTTGAGCTAGCAGCTCAGTTATGTTCTGGTTTTTAGAGTTTGTGCATGTAAACATAAACATCATCAGTTTGAAGTCAGCTGAATATTTGGTTACTGCGACACTGTCCACTGTTCTTTTTTTCTCGTAGTGCTGAATTTGTCTCATCTTGCTGACAAATGATCAGCTTCTTATGCTCGTTCTCTCCTCTAACCTTCACCAGTAGTGCTGTAAATGCAGAACTGACTCCAACACATCCTAGTGTCGAGTACATTAGTTCATTTATGCAACAGCTTTAACGATCACTCGAGGGGTGGTTCAACGTGATTTTAGTTTTCCATCTGTATAAAATAAAGATGTGGAACAGATTTTTCTTTTAGACATGCACATTTTTTGGCATCAAATACGTCAACAAAGTGAAGGCTTGTATGTCTTGGAGGTAAAATCCAAGATGCTAAATTTAACTTGAATGTAAAGCATTTTAAGTAAATTAGGTTTGTTTTTAAGTAGTTGAACCATCCCCCAGATGTACCTACTTTTTCTTTTCACCCTGGAATCACCCTCTATGTGTTTATTTGGCTTCAAACTGTACCGAGTCCCTCAGGTCGTACAGTGCCAAACATGAGAAAACATTAGTAACAAGACGTTAGGTGATAAAGCAACAATTCATCGAGTGTGATTGAGGGGTGAGAGAGAGAAACCACGTAGCCGTAGAGAAACAAATAGACTCTGTGAAGATGCACTAACCACTGACTCTTTCACATCTAACTCTCATCTCTGATGGCGTCTTGTTGACTCACGCAACTGTCTGTAATTAAATTAATGCTTCCATTTTTCCACCCACGTTTGATATTTGCTCCTAATGCAAGGGTGTGTGAGAGGAAGTGATGCACGGCTGTCTGAGTGTACTGACGTGTGTGTGTGTGTGTGTGTGTGCGCCTGTTGTTCAGTGGCTTCTCGTACATGATATCACACTAACATACTTCAGCGGTTTTGACCTGTTTTTACTCTTTATGTGTCTATAATGTCTATCCCAGCATGCTGCATGTTTTCCTTTGATTCATCCACAGTGAATCCTCCGTAACAGAAAGACGTACTCTGATTAATTCTTGTTCTAAATGTCCCTGTTTTGCTCCTAGTTACAGTTTTCAGTGCAGGTTGTGTTGCTAAAACGTGTACTCTGGATTAATTATCAAAAGAAACATAATAACTACACTTACTTGGTACACATAATTGTAGTGAAGGAGTGAATACACAGTATGAAACTGCACATTAATTAATCGGAAACAGTTCCAATATATTAAAGACAAGAGGTCTGTGCTTTCAGTTACTGTAAATTCTCAAATAGTGGCCATTATTTAGGACATAATATTATAGTGAGGCCTTTTATTCCTGATTCCCCCTGTTTCCCAGTTAATGCAAACTCAAAGCTTCACCCTTGTTTATCTGTTGCTTTGATGAATTCAGTATAATGTCCATTTCCAATCAGTCCAACAACAGAGTCCGAGTCATATCAGCAGTTCCACTGTCCAGCATTTTTTCCAGATATCAGGAAGGTGAATAATGATATCTGAACATATTAGACTCAACTCTATTGTCTGTAGCTTAGCATCGATCACTATTTGAATACCTTTTTTATATGAAAAATTAGATTCATTTAATTGAACTTTATTTCACAGCTGAATAATGAGAAGTGACATTTGAGCTTGTTAGACCTCCGTCAGTGTTTAAAGTGTAATCGTGAAAGAAATCACATTGGTATGAAGAAACCCGACAATCAGGCTGCTGATAGAAGAAACAGAGTCACTTAGTTACACAGCAAACACATCCCTGCTCTGTTTTCCCCCCTCTTCCTCCCGATCCCCCTGCTGATAACATTGCTGCCTCTCCCCTCTGTGTTGCTCTTGTCAACTGTTCTGGTTTGTGTTTGCGCCCTGATTCTGCTGCTTGTGGCTCACACTCTCTCCTCCTTTTTTGTTTTTTAATCGCTGCCTTGGTTTGACCTGCAGAGCTCTACCTTTCTCTAATTCCTTTAGGTAAGACTGACATGTCCTAGCAAAACAACAAAGAGTCCAATGACCCAGTCGTGTGGGCCTGATATTTATTGTACCGAGAATATTTAACCCATAGAGGTTAAGCTCTGCTGTTTTTGCTATTGATACTTTGACTTTATTTTTTATCCAAACTGCTATTTACTGCTGGTGTTTTTTTTAGAATAAAAACCTTGCATCCTCCTATTATTTTATTCCCTAAGATTGCCTTAATGTATTTTCCCCTAATACATAGATACTTAGCATGCAGCCCTTTGCTGGTACTTTATTTTATTATTAAATTAAAACAGTTATCATGATGCTGATACGTTTAGCATCATTAATTGAACCAAGTGATTACTGAGTGAAATCTTCTGGATCATAATGCTGTATGTCTCAAAACAGAGAGCACACACGTTTAAGATGTTTCATGAAGAAGTGTTCATGTATGTTATTATATATGATGAATACATTTACCTGTTACAGTTTTACACAGTTTTAAGGCTGCGATGGTTTAATCTACTTAAAAATAATCTGCAACCATCTTGATAATAGATTAATCATTGGCAGAAAATGCCTCTCAAATATGGAAATTTAAAATTAATAGGAAGGTTAATCGATAATGAAAACAATTGCTAGTTGCAGCCATACAAATTGTACATTTTTGTATATTCAGATGACCTGTTGTACTAGTATAATTAGCACCAAATTAAATAGTTCTTTAAGTAAAGAAAAAAGTTAAAGAGAAAGTAATTTTAGGAGTAATTAGTACAAAAATCCAAATCATGTGTTATAGAAAGCTAGTACTATTCATTTGACAATGTTGTTTAAAGTACATGTGAATGAGAGATAACAAATAACCACCAACAGCATTTTAACTTGTGTATATCAACTGCATTATATGTGTGTGTGTGTGTGTGTGTGTGTGTGTGTGTGTGTGTGTCACTGCTTGCTTTATAACACTTGCACTTCTGTCTCTTCTCTTTAACGCTTACAAAGTAGCAACTATTCCATTCGCCACTCGATAAGTATGCCCGCCATGAGGTAAAGTAACACACAAACCTGCTTCACTGTACTCTCTGTCACTACTGCTTCACTGTAACTCTGTGTAACTCTCTTTATTACTGTATCACCCTTTCTCTCACCCTTTCTTTATCTGATGTCTGTGCTTGTTACGCTTCTGTTTTCCTCTCCAGATTTCTTAACCGTGAGATCTTTTTTAAGTTAAAATCATGAGTGGACAAGACATTTTTATCTTCTGTTTGAAGCCAATTTATAAAATTTAGTTCATTATTTGCTTGTGATGTTAAGCCCTGTAGTGCTGCTACCTTTATGTCGTCTTCTGTATCATTGTATAATATAATGTTGTGTCAGTATTAGACAGGGAGCATGTTTAATACAGTATTAGCATGGCAGTGGACAATAAAACCATGAAATAATCAGTTAAAATGTGTTTTCTTACCCATGTTATAAGCAAATACACACATACTTTTTTTTAGTGCAAGTTTAGCAAATAATTTAGTATAATTTAGGCACCATTGCCTTTTAATGATGTGTGTTTTTGTGTGAGTGTAACATTATTTTATTTGTCTCATCTGCAGGAACTCTGCAACCTTCAAGTCATTTGAGGATAAAATGGGGAACCTGAAGGTGAGCGGACAGTAGGGATGCACCCAAAGGCCACGATGTGACTGATCCACAGTTGCTTTCATTGTCATTGTAAGATTTACATGTTTGACGTAAAGATTATTCCAGTTGTAGCATGAGTAGCAGCTTCAGTCCAGTGTGATCTAGGGTTGGGCGTTATGTTAATATTTACCACCATCAGCCCAACAACCGGAGATAAATCCAATATATGTGCATGTGTGTGCTCTGGCTCTCTAATAAAACCAACCTCTATCTAGGGTCAAACTGGTCCAAATAAACCCAGAACTCACTGTTTCTACAGCAGTTTCTCCTCTCAGTTCAATTTCAGTTCAATGTGAACGTCTGTCACTGAGCAGCGCTTCTTGTTCTTCTGAGGCAGACCATAAAATTCTCCAAATAACAAAACAGCGATGGACTTGTACAGTACCTTCATCCAGCTGCCCAACCCTAGTGTGACACACTGCGTACTAAAAACCTCTTTAGATGTATTATGCATTGTGGTTTTGGGACCCGCTGATGGATTTTAAACTGTAAACATCTACAGGAAGCAAAGTGCGTTGAGTCAGAAAGCTGATGTCATTAAAGCTGATAATCAATAACACTCTGGTCTGTTTCCTCTCTCTCAGTATAAAGTTGTCGGCCCCAGAGGGAACGGGGAGGCCGTCGGCTCCCCCACTGACACCACCCCCACTCAGGAGAACCCACCTTTCTGAACGCATCCCTCCTCCTCCTCCTCCTCCTCCTTCTCGCTGCCACCTTCCTCACGACCTGAGACTGTACTGTTATCACCTCACATCGCTGAGTCAGCCCTGACCTTTGACCCTCCACCTCACCGACCCTCCACCACTCACTGCGACCCCCCCGCGAGGTCTGTAAACTCCGACAGGAGGCAAAGTGGGTTCGAGGTGGGACGAGCCTTTCCCGCCAGTCCCATCACCGCCGGTCCCACGGCCTCCGTTCTTCTGCCTCGCCATTGAGGAAAAGGAAAATGTTTTGTTGATGTCTAAACCTGAATAATTTACAGACCTTGCTTTGCTACATGTCCACCTCCTGCCTCTACTTCCTCCCCAGTTAAAGCCACACCTCCTTTGTTAGCCTCCTGCACTCCTCAGACTCCTTTTTTTTAAAAAACAGGTTGTTACTGTTTCAGCACTTGGCTTAAAAACAAAAAAGGCTAAAAAGGCATTATGAGATGTCGGGTTCTTAAACCAAACATCACACTGAATTCTGGGATTGGGGTTCTTCTGTAATTCTGGGTAATTCTGGGAAGATACGCTGCAGTCATGCATTGAAAAGTAACCCTGCAGGTGCATTTTTGGGCCCCAACTCAGAGTTTAGGAACCAGGATGTCTGCAGAATGAGGGTGGAGGAGCTTTTTTTTTTTACGGGCATAGGCAAAATGGTGGTTTTACGCTGGTTACACCTACTAATTCTGTCTTCTTGTTTCCGACTGCTATCATGTACTTTAAATAATGTATTCACACTGTGAGCAAACGCTAGTGTCACCACAGTAACCCCGCCCTGTTCTCAAACTCGTCCTCAGTTTGCTTCACAGCTCTGCAGTCGGCAGCAGTGTGAAGTACGCTCGTAGGTTAGAGGTTAGTGGTTATATTGGGAGGGTGGGGTGGGGGGGGATCCAGCACATCTCACCCTTCTTAGACCCACCACTGCTACATGCATGTGCATATCTCATCTCAGTTGTACCATACCAATCATGCAAAGACGACCGAGGTCTCGTGTAACACCCTAAAAAAAAAAAAAAAAAACACCCCACAATGTAAAAACAGACAAAAACCTTAAACCATTTTGTATTAAAACTATTTTACACTGCTTTGCATAATGTTTTTACATAACTTTTATCAATATGTATAAATATATATGAATAAATATATTGTCGCTGATGCTGCTGAATGGTAGTAATCAGGTTGGAAGGTTTAAGAAAAAGCGGGGGCGAAGGTTAAACAAACTTAAAACAAAGAAACACTGTGGGTCAGTTTCACAGGGACGAGTTATTGTCTGTCAGGAGTTTCTTCTCTTCATGGTCTAAAATTAAATAAATAAAAATGTTCCCACGTTTGTGAAACTGACTCATTGACGAGCTGCAGTCGTTTTGTACCCGTGTGGGCACAAGACGGATCAGACCGAGGCCATAAGGAACACAATCCGACTGGTTTCATTTGATAAACGCGTTTGATCTCAGATGTTGCTGCTGCGACATGTTAATGCTGCCATTTGCAAGTCAAACTCTCAAGGGTCGCAAATGATTTGAAACCACTTTGGCTGTGTTTTTGCTTTTCAGCCTGGGTTTGACTGCCGTTCACTCAGTGTGAGACGACGCTTTGCTGTGTACACTACCTGGTGAATGTCAACGCTTTCTCTATCAGCCTTACTCACTTTAACTGGTTCACCTGTTATTCTAATTTAGCTGGTAGAAAATAAATTTCATTTATGTTCCTTTTTTTTTTTTCTTTTCAAGTTGTACAGACTGGTTCGATTGAAGGAAGGGGAGTTAGCGTTAAAATATTTAGAGTCCGGCGAGCCACAAAAGTCATGGAAAACCTCTCGCTGCCATAGTAGAAACTTTGCCAACAACCCCTTAATGCACTCCTTTAAACACACTAAATGCTACTAAATGCCCTGATCGCACACACACACGCTGCATGAGGCCAAACTAACACAAACGTTTTGTACAAACTCACTGTTGCTCCTATTATTGTTGCACCTTCAGAGACCACATAGTGATAAATCCAAACTCCAGGGCCTCAGAAACAGTGACAGTAAATGTGAAGGCACAGAACTGTGCAGCACTGTCACTTTTCTCCTTGTTTCCTTTTATTTTTTTGCTGATACAAGGGCAACATCGCCTCTGGTGGTTTGACAAAATGTTACACTGCTGTTTATCCAGTTAAAAAAAAAAAAAAGCAACTCGTGGAAAAAAAAATAAAGCCAAAATCCTCGTCAATCTTGAGTTGCTGTTGAGGCTCATCGTTTTTCTCAAAGCACTGAAAGGTGTTTGAATGTTGCCTCTCACGTTGCCAAATACGTTTTTCACCCATCACAACTACAAAATGTTGCTCTTGTATCCCGTCTCAAAATGTCACGGGAGGTCTAGATGATTTAAAACTTTTTCCCGGAAGGTTTAGAGTTGCTTGTAGAAAATATTAAAAGATGAACAAACATGAAATGAAAATACACTCGACTTACAAACAAACGTTCCTGTCAAACTGCTTCAAAACCAGTGTGCCAGTGTATCATAAGTGTATTTTCTTGTTTGTGTTGCTCATTTTGGTAGTTAATATATTCCTGTTAGGTGAATTGTTATGTTTTCTTTTGGCTTTCTGTCTGTTCGGAGAGGTGGATTTAGATAAGATTTCTTATTTGTATAAATGATTTGCCATCAGTTAAAAACAAATTGCCAATATTTAAATATCTGTTACAGAATCTCTTTCTTTCTGCCTCTGAATCTCATGGAGTCTCTGACTTTACTGCTTCGCCAACATGAAAAAGACGCAGTCGCACACTGCAAGAATTATTGATCTCAGCTCATTTACTTTAGAATTTAACCATATTTCTCTTAAACAAAGTGGAGAAACTCACTCATAGTTGACGCTTTGGTGGAGCTGTGATCTCCCTTTTGTGCAAGACAAATGTGATTTGAAGGATTAAATGACTTCTTAAGATGTAATTTTTTTATTTTCTTTTTGCAGTGTAGCCGTTTGTGTAAAGCTGCAATCAGTTTTCGGAGACTGATGATGAAAAAGGATGATTACTTTTTGTTTTGGGTGCCAATGGGAAGTGCAGCACAATGGTGAGCCTGCTCAGAGCCAGCCGCTGCAGAGGCTGGAGGACAGTAGAGTACTCATAGCTTTATTTAGGTCCTGGGATGGGCTGATGTAGAATATCAAAAGGGATCAGATTTGGAAGATTATGGCGAGTTAATTAAAAACACTTTGGTTTTTTTTTTGGTTTTGTTGTATATGTTTGGATATCAATAAAGCATTCCTTTAAATGAATGAGTGGTGTTTGGTCAATATATACATATTACTCTCAATTTACTAATGAACACGACTAATATTAAATAAAGTCGCTGAAACTGGGTTTGGTGGCACATAAAATGTTCTTTATTTTACACCAATATCTCCTTTTTTGCTCTAAAACCAAAACACAAAATGAATACTAGTTTCCTGTTAACTGTAAAAAAAACATTATTGGCTTTTATATTGATGAGAAGTGTTCTAGAGATGTTTGATGGGATCTGTTTAAGAAAGACTAATTGGAAACACTGTTTCCTACAAATTGAATAATTGGCACAAAATTGCATTTTGAATTTTAAGAAAAACTCAAGTTGCTAAAATGAAAGTTTTCACCATTATTTACTGTCTATACTAGATGTATTAATTTAAGACATAATGTTATTATGGACAAATGTATACTCGATAACCCTATAAGACAGTAGTCAATTGTAGAATAAGGCTGTTTCCAGACCGATCAGTTACAAATTAATGAAGTGTACATTCAGGGTCACATTGTGCACACGGGCAACATCACATTACCTGCCACGTGGCCCGAACGCTAATAAAACAAGTGTTCCCTGACCGGGAATCGAACCCGGGCCGCGGCGGTGAGAGCGCCGAATCCTAACCACTAGACCACCAGGGACAGTTAAAGTCCTCTGTGACGTCACCAATAGAAAAACGTAAAGTGGTGCGGCTGTGTGCGTTGTTTAAACCGTTGTCCTTATTTTTTTCTGTTAGCTAGCGGAGTTCAGATTCGACGCGAAAACTAAAAATGTCCTCTCCATCGACATTTAAAAGGAGTCATCGACCGCTACCTTTCACTAGGTATCGCGAGATTTGACTACCGCGCTGTGGAACACGTCAGCGGGTTGTCGTGGCCGAGTGGTTAAGGCGATGGACTAGAAATCCATTGGGGTCTCCCCGCGCAGGTTCGAATCCTGCCGACAACGAACAATGTTTTTGTCTTTATCAAACCAGTTACTCTGATTACAAATCACAATTATACACATATAATTTATACGATCTGAGAAACAGAAATGATGTAACTTTCAGTTAAGTTTTGTATTAAATTCATCACAGTAAATTTAATAATACCCGCCTGGCAAACAAAAGTTATTTTGATCACAAAATGATTGTAGGTGCACACAACAAACAGAAGTGACACATATATTCCTTCTATCTATTGCTATAATTGCATTTAACTGAGGGATGGTGACACAACCTCAATTCACACATTTCACCACAAGAGGGAACTGATTGTACGTTGGGGACATTATCTCTGTGCAGTCCATTTATGGAGAGTCCGTAATGGGGCAGAGACCATGCAACACTCTGGAAGTCACTGAAATCACTGTGCGACACGTGGGATAAAGAATACAGTGACTAAAACCGAGGTTTGAACTAGATAAACAAGTTTCATACATTTTTCCACCCTTAAAAACAACAAAACACAACGTTTTTTAAATTGAGCAACAGAAAAAAAAAACAAGATATACTCCTATGTTGAACCCTAGATGAACACCAAAAGGCATGAAAGACTATCGAGGAAAAATAACCTCCTGCTGGAGGGATTGATGGGCAGAGTTTGTTCCAGGTATTCGTGGAAATGAGGAGAAAGTTCTTATGTTGTGTAAATAAAGAATAACTTTCAAGAACCTTTTGCTTAACTTTTTCCTTTTTTTTTTTTTTTTTACAACAAAATCAATTTATTGCACAAAGTTTAATAAAAGCTATTTTATTTATAAAATCTATCGTATTTCTACTTTTTATTTTTGTATAGTTTTCTATTTTAATGTATGTCTAATGTACGTTTGTATGCTGCTACTGGACGCTTGAATTTCGGGATAAATAAAATATCTATCAAAAAAAAAAAACATTTTTAAAAATTACGTATTGCAATATTTTAAATCATGACGCATTTTCCAGAACATGCTGTACGTGACATTTTTTTTTATTTTTTTTTATTACATATATTTATAGCCCCGCCCACGACTGCGCTTACGTCACCAGCCCCTCCGTATAAAAGCTCGAGCTGACCGTTGGTGTCCAGTTGGAAGCGGCGTCGATATCCGTACGGACCTTGGAGGGTTACATTTACCCAAAACTTATTTTCAAATGGGCCCCGTCGCCTAGCGTTTACTCCCCCCTGCCTCGCCGACTGAGTTGAATTGGGTGCTACTGAACATCGGCACGTCTGGGTCGCTAAAAGGTGAGTTTAGTCGTTATAAAATGGTGGTAACAACAGTGGTGGGCTCCTGTTGTGTATGAAGTAAGGTGGTGGTGGGGGAAGCTAACTCGTGATAACGGCAGCTGTTATGGGGCTTTTTTTTTTATGGTTTAAACTAACATAATAGACGTTTTGTGTGTTCTTTATCTCGCTGTATCCGGGCTTTCATCCACAGAACATAACGGTCGTATTAACCGCGGTGTATGACGGCTGTCAACACAACCGTTGGGGTTTTTTTTATTTGTTTTTGTCCTGTTTTGGGCACAAAATGTCGTCCCTGCATGAAGGAAAGGTCCATCCGCACTATTCAGTTATTCAACCTCCCTTCAACACATCCTTTGTTTCCTCCCTTTTTTAAAAGAGGCTCATGTTCTCCTTGTTTCTGATGAAATGACACCGAGAAACGTCAAAATGTCGGTTTGGTGCAGAGATTCTTCAATGTAAACAACAAAACAACAACAACAACAACAACAACACTGTATTAATCTATATTAATCTTTCTGGTTGTATTTCGGTCGTGAGACATTTAATGTATAGTTTATATGTTCCTGTTCAGGGTGTCAACAGATGGAGTCAGGGATGTTTTCCTCGCATACAATCACTGCTGTTAGTTGATTAATTGCTTTGTCTCATCGATTAATCAAATTAAGATGCAGTAGGTTGCTTTTGTGAAGATGCTTTATAAACCATTTAGGGAGGAAGATAGCCAACATATTGCTGAGAGCAGTGGTGTTAATTGTCTAATAAAACAATGGCCAGGCTTCAGGGGACAAGAAACTGCTGAATGTCTGTATGGTTGTTATAAAGTGTAAACAAATACATAATATAAATTGAATTGTATATAAAGTTCCCTAAACGGGGAATAATCTGCTCAAAATTCATCCAAATCACTGAATTCACTGTTTTGGTTCATTGTACAGTTTTTAATATAATAATAAATATCCATAAAACATGTTATTTAGTCAGGAGTCGTCAGTTTACTGAATTATTGAAAAGGCGGTCCCCTAATTTGCATTATTACATCATTATAATGATAGTAATAATAACAATTAAACTAGTTGAATCGTATAAATAGTGATTTAAAAAAAAAAAGTGAAATGACAAACCAGGTTCCAGCTTGTTAAACAATTACAAATCGATTGTGAAAGAAATTGGTTCATCGATAAAGCAAACAGTCCATACTGCAATAACTGGTTAATTATAATAAGGAATTATATTATAAAAAACCCTGAACATCTGGTTTATTAAGATAATGACAGACTGAAATTAAAACAATCAGGAGTTGGAGCGCCGGTCTGGAAAGGAATCTATAAAAGTAATGGTGAGTAATTCAGCAGTCTGGTTATAATCAGACTGTTTTTCCTCTCCAGGTTTCCATCGAGCACAGTGACCAACAACGGTAGGATGGCAGCTATTCCAGCAGGCGGTTCTCTCGTGGCGACCACTGACTACTACCGAAGTGAGTCTCTTTCCTTTTGATCACACCGGCATCGAATCATTAAAGTGTCTGAAACATAGATGTAACGAGTTGTTTAACATTTTCCTTTGGGGTTTTCCTGGATCAAAGATGATATTCTCCGCGATACATTTGTCACGTAACCGGTGGAATATCGAATATTAATTCGAGTGATGTTGCATCATGTCAGGCCACAGTCAGACTTGTGTTTATTAGAGCTCGAAGGGGGGAAATTACAATGTGACACACCCATCCTGTGATCTTTTCTCTTTGTATATCGAGAAAACATCTTTCTCTTCATTATGAAGGGGGGTTGTGTGTATGTACGGTGTAACCTGTGTCAGTAAATCAAATGAAAAGTGTTCACTACAGCTCCAGTGTTTCCCCTCAGGCTGCAGTTATACAACCAAAAGAAAATTGATTAAATTTTTGTGTGTGCCTGTGAATGCCCCACAGCCCCACTGTAAGAGAGACAGTTGGAAATTGTGCAAGAGCATTAAGTTCTCCCTTTGGTTCAAAGAATTAACCCTTCAGTGTAATAAATGCTGAACTAGAAGGGGCACACTGAGAGCGCAGACCCTCCCCAAAGGCCAGCAGTCCCGTCTTCTATGATATAGTCTTCACCACACTGTTGTTAGTTCATGCATGGCCGACAGATTCAGTTAATTGTGTACTTCCTGCTGACAGTCACCCAAAAGCTCACCAGCTCATTCTCTCCTCCCGCAGGGCGCATCGGCTCTACGTCCAGCAGCAGCTCTTGTGGCAGTTCGGAGTACAGCGGAGAGGTCATCCCTCACCATCCAGGTGTGTATAAAAACAGAAAGACTTGAGATATTCAGTTTCCCTGCACTATTAAATGTGTCTCAATTAAACACCGACAGTTTGAAGTTACAAAGACAGGAAATGCTGCAAGCCTGGATCACATTCACTCCTCCTAAAAAAGACTGAGTCATTTAAAAGGCCGCGGTTTTACACAGAACAGTGCGTTCTGTTCAAGAGAAGCAGCGACCACAGCTGTGCGTGTCTGTACCAGATCCAGATGTTTCTGTCTGTCCGCGTATGCCGTATAACATTACTCAATCTACGCCGTAGCCCTGCTCGTCGATACGGTAATATTGCATACAGAGCTTCAGTTTGTGTAACCTCAGGATTGCTGTGGTTGAGTCAGCTGTTGCCTCAGACCACACATGGTTACTATGATTGAGTCATCCTGTGATGCACCAAGCGCAGGTTGTTTCTGGTTTGATCTCGTTCTTTTTAATCTCAAAGAAAATTCGTTTTCAGTCGAGTGTTTTCCCCCCTTTCCACTCAGGATCAGGGGATTTTCTTTGAACGGCAGCTCCCGTTCAGTTCTCTGGGTTTCTGAGTCCTACCCAGCCCCTGGTACCCCAATATAACCCTCAGCACCAGTTAATATCTGCTGACTTCAGCTGTAATCCTGGATCAGCGTCTCAGTGCAGCTCTGTGTGAAAACCATCTGCGCCACCAGTTGAATGCTGGCTCAGGGTTGTGTCGACATGCCTGTTTCCACACTGGGTCAGCTCTTTAATGGTGTCAGGGTACACACAGAGACAGCAACTGATAGTGCTGTAAATCAAAGTAGGTGAAGGGGGGGGTGGGGATGGGTGTGTTCATTCAGACTGTTGAGAGCACACGCCTTTCATTGTTATTACTGTTGAATATCACAACATTGATGCTTAGATTATGGTCGTTATTTACAGCCACAAAGAAAAACCAAAGGGAAAAGAGAGCTTTAACTGTACAGTATTGAACTGTGGTGTTATAACCAAGTAAGCAATGATTGTGATTTATAATTAGCTGATATATAATTATGGCACACGGCAGCTGTACTGTAAATGTAGCTGTGGAGGTGTCAGTCTGTTTGACATGAATTCAAACACGTGTCTGAGTCCTGAGAGGGAAACCTGAGTCACTCCCCACTCTGAGCACGGACTGTGTAAAATCTCCACAGGCAGAAATATGAATTAAACGGACAGCTGCTACAGTGTTCGCTGTATAAACTCAGAGCCTTTAAACCTCCTTTATGTGCCTCCACAGGACTCCCCAAGCAGGACTCTGGCCATTGGTGGTCCAGTTTCTTCTTTGGGAAGCAGCCAGGGATGACCCCACTGACTGAGGAGGCACAGCAGAAGTAAGTTTAAGCTCTCACACACACACACACACACACACACACACACGCACTGCTGACACATCCCCTAACTCTGACACTGTATCTTAATTATTTTAATCCTCATCATAATCCTTTTAAGTGTCTTTAAAAATTCCCTTTCTTTGCGAAATGTTCAGAACTTTCCTTTTATATCTCGTTGTTTTCCAACTTTGTTAGAGAATCCACTGGCCGATATGGAGCTGCGTTCCCCTGCTTTAGTGTTTTACTAGTGTTTACAGACGAGGCCAGTTTTGTACATTTTGTTAAATAATGTGAGTGTAGAACATGGGTGTATTATAGGAAACTCAAAGATGGCACTTGAATGAAAAATAGAAAGTTTTCTAGGTTCATGCAAATAAAAATGGCTTTTGAAGGCTGTGGGAAAGTTTTACAAATATAAAACCATGGATTCATGGATTACACAATAGAAGGAGTAATAATTTAAAGTTTAACAGATGATTCTTTTATAATAGTCATCTATAGAGGAAATGCTTTTGGAGGGGATCCAGGACTCTTAACACATCCGTCACGACTGCGTGTTTGCTTTGCTATGACTTGTCGCTGTGTAACCGAAACAACCCGTACTGGTTTGACACACAGACGCTCCCTTTTCCTTTTGTACAGTATCAGGAGTGGGTTTTCACAGTCTCTCTCTCTCTCTTTGTCTCTCCCTCCCTCAGGGCGGGGGTCCCGGGTGCGGTGACAAACGGTCAGATCACCTGCGTTGCGAGGGAGATGGTGATGCAACGGCAGGTGAGTGAGAGCAGCGACGCAGGAACCCCCACCTCCTCCTGATCCCGCGGCCTCACTCTGATCCACACCGCACCTCGGCGAGAATCCAACCAATGACCAACGCTAGGTGACGGGAGGATGTCCCGTTTACAACCTTTATTAGTTTTTTTTTTATATTATTATTCATCGTAGTGTAGGCTGCCGTACCTGTTTTTGTTTTGGTAACCTTGTGTGGTTTTTTTTTTTTTTTATTGACAACAAAGAAAAAAAAACAATAAAAAAAACAACAACAAAAAAAAAAAACAACAAGACGATGATGCAACTGATAAGCTCCTTTGTTTTTTTTTAACATTTGTACTGTTCTGTGTTTGTGATACTGTGGTGCATACACCTCCACATGCCTTTGTTAAACATTTTTCACTTTTGTCACCCTGTGATTGCAAATGCAATAAAGTAGACTCTTGCAGCCTAAATGTTTTCTGTGTTGGGTCTTTTATTCTTCTTACTCACATTTAAAGCAATAATGTTCCTTCAGCATACAGTCGCCAGTAAAAGGAAGGGAGATGTTACAATAGAAGTTTAGTTTGAATTCAATATGTGCTTCCAGTACAAAGTATCTCTGTGGGTTTACTGGTTCAAGTGTTAATAATGTCTAATGTACCAGTAGCTGTTGGTTGAAATCGCCCCGATAAGGACCGGAAGGTGAAAGAGTCTGTTTGCCAGGAAGTGGTTCACTGGTTTCGTACAGGGCTATTCCAGGAACAAAGTAAACACTGGGAGAGCAGCACGTCCTCCGACTGCTGCTCCCGGTGAACCCGGTGTGTTGGCTCAGTGTCTAACCATTGGCGCACATCTGGAATCTGAGTCCCGCAGTCCCCCGTGGTTTAAAAACACATCCTGCACAGACTGGGTTCAACTCCAGAGGGTTCCTGCTTCTGGTTTTTGCTTCTAAAGTTAAGTTTGAATCAATGTTGAAAGCAAGAAAAAAAATCTGTTTTAGATGTTTTCTCTAATAAAAGTAGCAGATTTCACTTTGGCAGTGAACTTTAAAACACTGAATATCTACAGGACCTTTGTTTTCTTTTAACATACAAATGTCAAAGTTGTCCAAAGTTCTGCTTAAAATAAATGAATCATTCAAATAGTTTATTACATCATTTAGTGCAAATTATTATCAAAACTAATAACATTCAGAAATGAATTACAGTGCATGCATTAATAATAAAAATATAAATTATGTTTTGTTTTAAAAATCTAACTCTGACCCGGCCCCAGCCCAGAATCAAAGCTCTAATACACATGAAGGAAAACAACTTATAAAACCTGGAAGAATCCTTTCTTTAGGATATAAAATGCCTGAATGTTGTTAATGTAATGATGAACCTGCATTCTGTGTCACAGGTTGTCCCTCCTCTTCCTCCTCTTCCTCCCTGACTCCAGAGTGCATAAAAAGTGTCTAAAAAGCAGAAACAGCTAAACAGTTTGGACTCTAAGTAACCAATCATCAGTACTTATCGCCCATTTTTTGCCAGTTGGTCTGGAACTTGGTGGTTGTTTCTCTTTCTTAATAATTATTATTTATAATTTTATAGACAGTACTCAGTGACACACCCAATCCCCGCCCTGCACAATGTATCAAACGCACCTTTAATGAGAAGTCTCCGCCCTCTGTGTGTGTGTGTGTGTGTGTGTGTGTGTGTGTGTGTGTCACCAGCAGCTGACACTAATTACCCAGCTGAACTCTTCCTAACTGCCCCCAACCACCCCTGTGGTGTCTGAAACAAGCTGATCCACCGACAGTCACATGAGGAATATTCATGTCTGGAGGCTGCAAGATGGCCATTTTAAACCGGAAGTTTAAGGAGGACCACCTCACCAAGGTAGGGGCTGCTGGTGCTAATGTGTGTGTGTGTGTGTGTGTGTGTGTGTGTGTGTGTGTGTTCTGTTACCAGTAGGTTTTGGCTGCCTGTCAGTGTCACTGGCTGTGTCCTGCTTGTGGTTGATGTTTTGGCATCTGCAGGCCTACTTTCCATCTATCTGCAGCCTTTGGCTTTAATTGAGTCAATTTCTTGTGCTGGTTGAGTCAAGTTTCAGTTTGTCATTGAATGCTCGTGTTTGTGTGTGTTTCCTATCAGGTGTTTTGGTGTGTTGCTTTTTAGGGTGATACTGTAACATTGTGTTTATGGCTTTCTGGTAGAAAAAACACTCCCATAATACATTTCTGTGTAATTTCTCTCAGTGTTTGTAACATCCAAGGTCGGCAGTAACCTTGACACTTTCTGTTCAGACAAGCAACCCCTGACAACCCCTGTCTTTTCTACTGCTGCATTTATTAGGCTCTTGTGCTGATGGTCATGTGCTTCTCGTTTAACATAGCTTTACCTGCACTGGTTGGAGGTGCTTTAATGGGGCAGTGACCATATATCAGCAGCCCATTCAAACAACAGTGTGTTTTTGTTTGTTTCTTCAGGAATTCAGAGATCAGCATCTCAAAAAATACCAACCAAAAATGTTGAATTTAAATGCACATACATACACAGTGTCTGCTTGGCTGAGTTTTGGTGTGTGGAGTGATGAAGTCAGGGTTTTAAACCTCAACTATCCACTCTGTACTCTGCGTTCACGTGGATAAATCAGCTCAATGTGAGTCCGCTAACAGAAATAAATGTACAGTTTTTTGACACATCACTTCTTGCTTCTTTTAAAGGTCAGTCTGTTTAGTCTTTTTAATCTGAAATCTCACATGAGTAAACAGCTGACTGCTGCACTTTGTGTTGCTGACTGTGCTGCTAAATGACCTTCAGAATTACATGAGTCAACTTGGTGGCAACGTTGGATGATTCTTAATCACGATCCTGTTCCATATTTGATTATATTTGATTAATTACATTTTATGATACAGCTATTCTGGTTGCATTTATAAATTTATTTATTACCAATTCCATTTGTAGTTTCAAGCTTATAGACTTAGTTTTTTGTCTTTTCTCTATTTTCTGTGTAGCTGTCGACCTGGGTGGTGAGCTGCATACAATTTCCCTTTTGGAGGTACAAATAAAGCTGAACTGAACAGAAACACCCATCTGTAGAATAAATCCATGTTATTGATAATTAGCCATATTGGTCATTAGTTAGTGACCACATTTAAATCTAAATCCTGCTAAAGTCATCACAGTGCCTTTGAGGCATAGAGGCCCATGAGGACAGTTGAGGTGATGATAATGCAGAACATATTTTCAGCCTTTTTGCGCTTCCCCCAAAAATCACAAACTCCCTTTTATCTTTGGACTTTTATGCAAGTTCTCCTGACATGTGGAGAAAAATCTCCCTGCTGACTGTAGAGCAGTGCAAATCCTGACGCAAGGATTTTCCCATCTGAGTGTAAAATGGGTTTGTGTAAGCGCCACTGTCCTCTGTTCACCCCACCGGTCTCTCTGTCTGTCTCTATGAAACAGAGGAAAGACAAACAATGGGCAACGCTGCTGTAAAGTGGCCCCCTCTGCATGATCGTGTTGAAAGGTTGAAAAGGGGATTTGTTCTGTGGCTCATTTGAAGAGCCGAGTGGTCGGTCGTCCTCCCACGCTGCACTTTTTCCAGGTCACTGGGTGCTCGGAGGGTCATTGAAAAGTGGGAGGGAAGGAGGCGATTTTCTCTTCTCTGTCTGGATCTCACTCACCTGTTGTCAGGCTCCTCTCCCTCTCCTCCTCCTGGTTCTCTACATGTGTCCTTCTTTTGGCTCCCTGGTGCTGTAGTGCTGGCTGATATCAGTATCACAATAGTATTAAGAATAGAGCTGCAATCTAATCTTATATATTTTCTGCAGGGACTTCTTGGCCTACAAATCTTGTTCCTGAGATTTAAGAAAACAATGTTTTATTTGATACTAAAGACCCCGAAAAATCTCCTTTTTTTCAGTGAAAATTAGATTTGTGATGCAAATATGATCATTCAAGCACTAATCATGAATCATAAAATAATTAATTAATGATCAAATAATTGCAATGTGATGTTTTGACCATATTGTGCCGCCCTAATTGATAACCGATTAGTCTAAAATGTGAAAGATGTAAAACAGTCCAAGGTGACGTCTTCAAATTGCTTAAAAAAAGATGCAAATTCTCTCATTTGCGCACTTGGAACCATCAAATATTTGCCATTTAATAATGTAATCAGCTCTTTCAACAAGTCGGGTTTGAACAAAGGTGAACTAACACGCAAATTAATTGGAATGCAATCGCTTAATACACCCCCATCCTAAAGCAGGAACGTGCTGCGCTTGATTACTGGTCAGTTTAGGAAATAATGCTGTTGATGCAGTCAACTGTAGGTATAATGAAATGTTCCCTGTCAGCTCTTTAATACAGGATGAAGCTCAGCAGGTTTGAGGAAGTTACTGCTGTAACTGTGTGAGAGGAAATCTGCTCTTCACTTCTAGAGCTGTCAGAGTCGGCCAAAAAAGACAGTTGAGTATTTGTTCTAGAAAAAATAATAAATAAATCACATATCTTTGATCTATTCCATTATCTGTTTTTGTCCATAAGCCGATGCATAACTGTGCCGCCTACTGACCCCCTCTGATGTGCTGTGGTCAGCGTATGGAAGCTAAATCTTTAGCTGCTGTAGTTATCCCGCCACCAGCAGCCGACGGAGCTCCAGTCAATGATTTGCCGCTGTTGAATTATTTCCAAACGGGGCTTTATGGCTCGGTGTGCAAATCTCTCTCTCTTTTCGGCCGAGCTGGGTTGTGAACTTTCTGCCATCATTACCACACATTTGATCAATGAAAGTGACATTGTATGACTCCTGTCTGTCATGCATTTACTGCAGCGGCCAAGGCCCAGGTCAGAACTCGTGTTGGGCAACACAGAAACAAACTAAAGTTGCTGCGATGACAGACAAACCGGAATTGAGCAATCTAAATTCTTTAGCCAGAGAGATTACTGTTTACTGACACTATTTTAATCTTTTCTCACAGTCACATTAACTGTTTCTCTTATTCTGAAATGCATATTTTTCACTTTTACTATTGCACAACCGCCCCCACCCTCAAGCAAATTCACACTTTGTGTTATTGCCGTACTTACTGCAGGTTTCTTGAGGACAGAGATGAGCAGCCAGCTTCCTTCTTCCATACTAAGAAACAACTCATTAAGTGAAATTTAAATACACACGCCCACGAGTGATAACATGTATTTTATTGTGCTCAGTACCTGTACATTTATCTTGAGACTGGAGTTAAAATAACTCCCTGCATTCAATCTTACAAAAATATATTCCTGAAGTTTCACAGACAGTACTGGCCCACTGAAACGATCACTTCGCTCAGTTTTAGGACCAGTTTCCACGTTACATTTACATTTTCACCACTTTGAGAGCTGCACAGTGTAAAGCATAAGATGTCTTCGCCAAAATCGAACTTTTTAACAATATCTGGCATCTTCTGACTCCACATAAGGCCTCCAATTGTATACTGCAACCAAACATTTTCGCTGCATCGATATTAAACGTGACGTAATGTTCAAGTGTCTTTTTATGTGGACTTTGTCCACTTTCTTGGTGTTTGTCCATCTGACTCAGGCTGTCAAATCCTGAGCAGCAAAGAGGGCTGAGAAATGGGAAGTTAAGTGATCCAGATTTCTTAACTTCCTTTCAGTCTGTGTACCGATGCGCTTGTTTCCTTCTACTTGATGCCCCGGTTAGCAGGGCTGGTTGGTTTGGAGGTGGAGAATTGAAGAGAAGAGGAAGAACCCAGGACAATGTTGACCCATAATCCTTTGGTTCCACCTGGGAATCCTGGGAAGAGAGAAACACACAGTTTCGTTTGTGTCATAAAACAAATAAAGAATATCTGATCGTGAGAGAAACCACCTGTAAAATGCTTGAGCTTATTAGCTCCTCCCTGCATGCTGCATGCAGTATCTGCCATCTTTTTATCCAACTGTGGAGTTTTTGTCTGGGCTTAATGTTCACAAATCCACTTCATATGTTTGAAGAAGTATTATGTGAACTAGTGTTCTGTTTTACAGTAGTTGAGACTCATTTTAAAAACTGAGCAGCTGCTTTCCTCTTACGCTGCAGTTTTTCCACGTCACTGGTCATCAAACTGGGAACTGGGGCAGGGTATCACACTTTCTCTTCTCCATCTCAACCTCAGTCATTCATTTTCATTCTTCCCTCCCTGTCCTCCTGTTGGAATCAGTATTATGATATATGGAGAGTCCCACATACGTCCTGCTGCCACACACTAAAACCACTGGGTTAAAGATTGAAGCAGAGTGGGTCAATATAAAACAGATTTTTTTTTTCCTTGGTCTCTCTCCACTTACCGATTCATCTCTAGATCTTATGAGCCCCATGTTTTGATTTGGCAATAAACTTTTTACACCAGCATGCCCTTCCTGACGCAGCCCTTCCCATTTCTCCAGGCGTTGTACTGCAGCCCTTCCCATTTCTCCAGGCGTTGTACTGGTAAGTAGGAATGCAGTGGCTGGAGTTCAGTGTCTTTGACATGTGGACAGGAAGAGGTGGGGTTCGAACCGCCAACCCTGCTATCAGTGGCCGACACTCTTCTGAGCAGATAGCCCAAAGTGGTGTAGAAAACCCACCAACAGTGACCTGTTTTTAAACCCAGTGTGTCTTTAGTGTGTATAAAAGGGCTTGTGCAGCCTCTTAAAGTCTAAAATACAATAATCTGGATTTTAGGCCTTAAAATGTCTCATAAGATTTTAGGTCTCAAAAATGTATTAGATTATTGAAGTTTCTTGTATAAAGTTGCAGGTTCAGTCTCACTTTTTAAATTTGTTTTTCGTAAAAAACATTTGTTTTAAATCTTGTTTTAAAATTGTGCTGATCATGCAACAATTAAAAAAGAAAAGACATGGAT